ACGGTCGTGTCAAAATGCCAGACGTGTGTTAAATATCAATATAGTAATCCAAGAGAGCCTCTACAACCACATCCAGTACCCGAAAGACCATATCAAAAAGTAGGTGCAGACATTTTTACATGTCATGGAAAAAATTACCTTTTGGTTACTGACTATTACTCCTTTTATCCTGAGGTGTGTGTGTGTTAAGCACAATTACAGCAGAAAATGTTATCTCATGCATGAAGTCAATTTTTGCTCGACATGGAGTACCACAGGAAGTCTTTACTGATAATGGCCCTCAATTTATTAATGCCAGCTTTCGGAGCTTTGCAGAAGAATGGGATTTAAAACATACAACTTCTAGTCCACATTTTCCGCAATCCAATGGTCTTGTGGAAAAGTCTGTTGGAATAGTAAAGAGAATAATGCAAAAAACAAGAGATGATGGAAGTAGTTTTTATATGGGATTGCTTGCTTATCGTAGTACACCTCTTGAATGTGGATACTCACCGGCATGTCTTCTGATGGGTCGACGTCTTCGTTCTAATTTGCCTGTGTCTGAGAATCTTCTGTTAATGCGACATAGTGAAAAAATCAAGAAATACAAAGAACAACAACGGGCTAAGCAGAAGTCATATTATGATAAAGGAACTCGTCAGTTGCCCGAGCTTGGTGTTGGCGAGGAGGTTAGATTTAAAGATAAATCCAATATCTGGAAACATCTTACAATGTTGAAATGCCAAATGGTGCTGTGTTAAGAAGGAATCGTCAACATTTGTTGAAAGACGTATCTGCTGAGTCAGAACAAACAGAGCAAATTGAAGGGACTGAAATGCCTTTGAGAAGATCTGTTCGTGTACGGAAATGTCCTGAGAGACTTATAGAAACATGCTGAGAGAGTTATCAAAACCTTCTGAACTGCTTATTGAAACATGCTGAAATATTTATTGTATTTATTAGTAGTGTATAAATTATGTTCTTTATTAATTGGGTTAAGTGTGATTAGGATTTATGATTGTTATGTGTATTTAAAAAAAAAAAAGAAAGAAAAAGGAAGATGTAATGATAATAGTAATGGCAACCAGGTGTGGTTTAAACAATATATATCTGCGCATGTGCAGCATGGGGGCAGATGCCCTGGGAGTGTGCGTGGTGGCAGCACGCCACAGTTGTAACTGCTAATAAATACCTACGTTGCCTTTCAATTGTAAAGCTGTTTTATTTAATGGACTCACAAGAACAGAACAAATATAATAATTTTCATTTATAATAAATTACTTGTGCCTCAGAGCGAGCAGACGAATCACAATGCAGTCATTGCTTTCGGAGGTGGATTATGATTATTTATGAAAAAATATTTGAAAACTGATTCCAGTACATATTAATATATTAAGATGTCTGTCAAATCATTATCATGTGGTCCAACCAACACGCAAAACAGAACAAAACAATTCAGAAAAAAGAACAGAACAAAACAGAACAGAACAAAACAAAACAGAAAAAAACGAAGAACAGAACAAAACAAAACGATAAAAACAGTCCTCATAGAGAAGGCCCCCGCAGACCCTCATGGCTGTAAGACAAGTTTAGGTTGTAAAATGTCTTGTGGTGCAACATCCGAAAACTTAAAGATATTTATATTATAAAATATTTTAAGTAATATAATTATATTATATATTCGTAATAAATATTTATAATAAAAATATATATCTTAACAAATATGTAAAAACTTCAAGGTTCATTGACTGTGTGAATGTAGCCTTTAGATTATCTCTCTCTTCCTCTATCTGTCTCTTTCGCTCTTTCCAAAAATTAATTCTCAGCCTAATGAATTTGTCCTCTGCTGTGGCAGATTTTGAGCTCTCGACATACCGTGAAGACAGATGTTGGTTCTCATCCTCTTGAGATGCCACCAACCAAATATCTTGCTCAAAATAACCATCGTCTCCTGTGGAGAAACACAATATGCTGTTATCATGACTGAATTGAAAACGGAATTGAAGACAAAAACCAATGAAAACTTTTTGAATGGTTTTACTTTGATGAATGTAAAACAGCAAAAATGCAATCATATCACTGATGAATATGTTTAATTATATCCTGATCCTGTCATCATAGTTCTTTATTGATTTTGTGGGGGATTTTTGATGGTATTGAAGGATTTATTTTCCATACAGAGAAAATTGATCAGCTGAGCATAAGCAAATGATTATTCACAGACTTGCAATCACCAGAAGATTATTTCACATTCAGAATGAATAACAGATGAGTATTTCATTTAGATAAATGTTTAAGTCTTCATAAAGGAAAAGAAGGTCTGCTGTCCTTTAGTATCTTCACATTACTTCCCATCTTTTTCCATCACTACCTACCATAAACACCAAGTCAATCAATCAATCAATCAATCAATCAATCAATCAATCAATCAATCAGTCAGTTTTGATGTGTGTAGTTTTGTTGAATAACACAGATGAGTAAAGATGACAGAATTTTATTTTTGTGGTGAACTGACTTTTTGTTGGAAATGAGCTGTAAAAGTCTTTTAAAACAACAAACAAATACTTCAAATGAAGCATTCATCTCATAAGAGCCCATAGAGCTTACTCTAGCCTACGGTGTTTGTGCATTCAAAGGTGACTTTTAAGTGGCTCCTATCTCAGAATGCTAATTACTACCTCAACAGCTTATCAGTTTTCCAGGAGGGTTTATTTAACGGCTAAATCAAGCATCGATCCACCACAGACCATCTGATCCCAGGAGGAAAATCTTCAGAATCTCTGTGGGGCAGAGATATGGGGATGAAGCATCTGTACCTGTCTGCCTCCCTTCTCTCTCTCTCTCTCTCTCTTTCTCTCTCTCTCTCGGCCCCTGGGCTCTACACTCTGTTGAAAGTCAATGACTTCCTGGCCTTGTGCTTGCACACTGGGCTCTGGGGGCAATCTGTGTTGAAAATGAAATGGTACAAGCTCAGTTTCATGCTGCCTCTGGCTGTATTGTACATTAGGCAGGTCTTACATTGGACTCCTATCTCTCTCTGTCAGCAATTAGACAGGCTTCGATGAGTTGAATGATTTAATTTTCAGTGACGCTGCCAACTGTGTGTAAGCTGCTGATAGCATGTTATCTCTGGGGTTCTGTCCCTGTTCTCTCTCTTTCACTAGTTCGCTCTGGCTCTTTTCATGTATGTGTGTAAGTTTAGAAATGCTCTAAGCAAAGTGGGCTTTTCGACAATATAAGCATAAATCTATATCATATTGTAATGTAAATGCATTCAAATAACTTGCAATTATCACTGATGATTGAAGACCAGCAGTAGTGATTTTCTTTTTGATCGCATAATAATGGCAATATATACGGTGATGCTTAAAAACTGGGTAAAACTTTGCTGAGGTTTCTTTTTTAAAGAGTGTTTTGTCAGCACTTAATGGATTAATTACTAATTAAGATTAGTAAAATATTTGGAGATGTTTTATAAATACCTCTATTTTTATATTTTGTCAAATGATTTTTTTAAATAAAATTTTTCATAGTTTGTCACTTATAAACGTAGAGTCACCACACAATTCAATTCAATTCAAATTTATTTGTACAGCAAATGCATGTGTCTGCATTACAATTTAGAGTGATCTCTTATCAGAAGTGAATGTGTTCCAAGTAATGTTCATTTCACAAAGATAATAGAATCATACAGTTAGCTAACATTTATTAATTTTAGGCAGAAGCTCATTAAAGTGATTATTACAGCTGTGATGCTAATGATTACAATATAGAGACATTTTGGCAGTTGTGCATGTCGATTCAAGTTTACGTCATCTGGGGTCCTTGCAGGGGTCTGCATCATCTCTTCACAGGTGTTGGGTCGTCTGAAGTATTTCTATGAGGCTGGATCTATACTGGAGCTGGCGTAATCTCTAGTTACCTCAAGATGGGCATCCTGGGGTAGGGACAAACAGGCAAATAGAAAAGAATTAGCATAGCTGCTGTTCATGCTAAATGTGATAGTATTAAATCAGTGGTTCTCAACCAGGGGGCCGGGGGGCAATATGGGGCCTCAGGAAACATCCAAGGCAAGCCACAGGATGAAATAAACGATTTAGAAAAAAAAAATACATACAATCAAGAAACTGAAATCAACTACACTTGACCTTCTGGAATCAAAATAAATCGTGAATAATTAATTTAATATATCAATGCTCTCAGTTTCTGTTAATAAATCATTTTTGAGAACAAGTTTTTCATAATAGCAGCAGAATTACCAAAAATATCTTAGCCTGTATAGTAGAAAAAGTTGAATATTTTGTTGGACAGCGGGGAGTGTTTGAGTCCACTGCATTTGATAACAAATATCAGGAAGGCATCTGTACTCAAATGCTGCTAGATCTTTTCTCAAAACCACCATCACTTTTTGCAATAACTACCTGGTGTCAAGGTGATTCTTAGTGAATGCATTTATTATTTTTAGAGGAATGAGAATGAGATTTTTTTTTCACAGTAAAATACTGACAATTGTGGGAGGACGATTTAGATTTGCTAAATTATGATGAAAATAATTTCACATTGCAAAAAAATAGTAATGCTCCACAAAAAGAGTCCTGCAGATACAGCCATTTAGTATTCAAAAGGCTCTGCTACTATGAAATATCCTCACAGTTCGGTGAGAAGAATATATTATCGCACACATGCACGTACTTCCTCTGGGTTCAGCATCTCATACCAGAGGCCAAACCATCTGCCAGCCTGATCGCTGGCCTGTGAGACTTGGTTCACTGTTTCCTTCATTTATTTTCACCACTCACTACCCAGAGGCCAAAACCTTCCACGATTACATTTACACAATGACAGACTTAACGTCTGTGTCCTTGTCTTAGCAGTGGCCAGCTGAGAATAACCTGCCATTCTCTTAAGGATGCTCCGTAAATCAAGTGCACTTTATTGTTGTATTCTCCTGTCCAGAAGCAAACGGGAGCACCCAGAAGGCCAAAAGGCGTTAATGTAATTGTTTTGTGTCTTTGTTGTAGTGGCTGCCATGGATTCGGAAGATGAACCGTTGTTGCTCCAAGGTACCTGGAACCTAAGTGAGTTTGAAGAGCAGGAGGAGGAGGAAGAGGAGGAGGAGGATGGAGATGGAGGAACAGAACAAGTAAATGGAGACGAACAGGTCTGTAAAGGGTTATGGTGGGCTTTGGGCTGGGTGTACACGCAGCCCTGGGCAAGCGGGCTGGTTCTGGCCATGGGATTTCTGGTACCCTTCGCCCTCTCGGCTTATATGTTCCTTCGCTGTGAACCACTAGACATTGACCTTTCTTACAGCGCGTTCGAGGTCAGGAGTCATGCCTCGGCAGAACATTTTGACGCTCTCACCATTGCCCTGAAAAACCAGTTAGGGTCTTGGGACAGGCACAGGCGTGACGCCGAGGGATTTGACCTTGAAGCCAATGCTCTGAGGGACCTTTTGTTGCTCATGGTAAACAGAAAAGGGAAGGACGTCTCTACACTGATGAATGTCACAGAACCCGCAAGGATCTTGGGACAGACTGAGATGGAGGCACACAATGACAACAGACAGTTTGGAAATGAGAAAAACAACAAGATGAAAGAGGAAAAGACAGACTCTGTAAAGCCTAACATAGCGGTAAACCTCAATTCAAGTGATGCTGAAGATCACAGGAAACCAGACTCACTCTTAATGAGGAAGCGAAGATTTGCGGGTTACTCCTACCTTCAGACCCAGGCCCTCTGGAGGATAGAGCTAGTGTTTGTGGCCCAGGGTGACAAGGATAACAACATCTTTAGCCCCGAACGCCTTCACACCATACACCACGTCGAGAGACTTCTAATGCAGCACCCTCAGTTTCAGCAGTTCTGCTGGAAGCCACTGGAGGCATTGCGAGACTTGCCTCTGGGACCTTCCTTCTGCTCCCCTCCAAGCTCCCTTCTGTCCTACCTCTTTCCCAGTGAGCGTGGGGGGAAGATCTACTATGATGGAATGGGACCCGACCTAGCTGACATACATGGTGAGTCTTTGGGGGCCAAACTATCCCACTCTCCATCAACAATTTAGTAATCCTCATTTATTTTTAACTTGAATACTTTTTAATGCTATATGTTGAGTAAAATGAAGCTCAGTTACAGCAAATAAACTCAGCTAAACTCTCTAAAAACAGTAGTATGCTTTATTTGATTTACTGCTGACCAGCTTGTAACTGTAGCTGGTTCTTCATGGTTTCTGGCTAGTCCAAGTTGGTCATTAGCTGGTTCATGTTGGTTTAGATGGTTGACCAGTTGGGCTACCAGTTGGTGAAGAATTGGCTGATCTGTAAGAACACATTGGAGCATAAACACACCAGCTTGACCATGTTAAACTGAAATGGCCTGGTTGTCCAGTAGAGTGAGCCCTGGTTAACATATATTAGGGGTGTCCAGTCCTGCATCTGTAGGGCCAATATACTATAGAGTTTAGTTCCAAACCGCTCCAACACACTTGCTTGGAAGTTTCCAGTGATCCTGAAGACCTTGTTTAACTGGTTCAGGTGTCCAATTAGGTTTTGAGTTAAACTCAACTTCAGGAAAGAGGCCCACTTGGAGCAGGACTGGACACCACTTACATATATTATATAGAGCAGGGGTCTCCAACCCTGCTCCTGGAGAGGTACTGTCCTGCAGATTTCAGCTCCAACCCCAATCAAATAGACAGACACAGGACGGTAGCTCTCCAGTAGCAGGGCTGGAGATCCCTGGTATAGAGTAACCACAAATGGTGGCTTTTTGATGTTCAAGGCCTCTTCATAATTTCGTCCAAATGAAAAGTGAAATATTTTTTGATAAAACTGATTGTAGTATCCTCTATTCTCAGGTGCCCTGAGCTTGGCGATCACTCATCCGCAGTTTTACTGGTACGTGGATGAGACACTCACACCAGACAAGCTTCAGTCCTCTCTTCTTCGCAGTGAGATCCATTTTGGAGCTCCGCTCCCCTCCTTCTACTCTCTCCAAGACAGACCTCTAGAACAGAGACATCTCTACAGAGACTTTGTGGTGCAGTATGCGGACATCCTGTCACAACAATCCACCAGGTGGGTGTTGAGCTCACAGCTGGTGTTGGGATGACTTAAACAAGAAGACTTATTTTTTATTTGTCTGGTCTAATACTATTCATGGTTAGTAAATGCAGAATCAATTTAACAAACATATAAATCAGGGAATTCAGCAAGAGATCCATGATTGCTTGTGGGGCATTAAACGGTCCTTGGATCCTAGAGTGTGCCTTGATGCAAACATTTATTTATTTATTTAATTTTAATAAATTAAGCTATCTTTCTAAATTTAATCAGTTGCTGAAGATTAGAATATAGACCATAAAGAATAAACGTGCAAAATTGACTTAGATCCCACTTGGCGGAAGGTTATTCCCACCCTGTCTTCTCCCATACATGGAGCTTATCTTTTTTTCTTATGCATATACTTATCTGCATATAATTTCCATTTGCATGTTGCCAAGTTGATAAGTGAGATATTACACTGCTAAAGATACTTTTTTTCATCCTTAAAGATATAATTACAAGACATTAGGACATGTTTTCAGAATATACAGTATTTTGAATATTTTTTTTCTTGTTTAAACCATAAACCAAGTATAACTTTTGCAGTTTTGCTTCTCAGGTTAATTTATTGTATTTAGAACATTCAAATATTTTCTGGAAATACAACAAATATATTAAATATATATATTTTTTAATTGTACAAAGTGAAGAAAGTTAATGCTGCCTTGCAGAGGATGAGGTTTTAATTGCGATTAGGGCTACAGTTCAGTGTGACTGGTAACCCATTTGTCTGCATAATGTGGTTCTTTGTAAAACGCATTCATGCAGTTCACACATACACAAAAAAATTAAAAACATGAACCTTGAATTGGAAAATGTTTTTCAATTGCAATCAGTTATGCAAAATTAATGAACTCCTTTCAGTGCTCACCTCCATTCAATAAGATGGCATTTTTATTCTAAAAGTGATGTACTGTAAATGAAAATTAAAATGTGTGTGAGAATTGTCATAAGGCAGAATTTGCTTTCATAAATTTGACATCTATAACGGCGCCATGAACTTATGAGGACAATCACAATGGCACAATGGTGATGAATTATGGCTCAGTCCTCCCGCTCTTCTGTGCAGCAGCTGGAGATACTGTTCACTTTAATAACACAAAACTAACAGGTTATATATAAATGATTAAACACACAATGGGAGTGTATTAAGTCACTAAGTACTCCTTAGTGTCAATGACAAAAGTCAGTTTGTCAGATGCTTCGATTTTGGCTGTAGTCATCTTTGCGAATGAAACCCCAGAAGGATGATCACAGACTTTGAAACTAAACAAAACCAGCCATGAATCAGACAATGAGAGACAATGACTCAAAACTTTATTACATCTGCAAAACATCCCTAATATACTTACTGCTGTAAGCAGATGCTCTTCAAATGACAGTAATTACTGCCAGCATGACAGTGGTAAGAGGCCTAGAAATTAGCTAGTGGCCAGACTCAGAATAGGGCCTCATTGTGGCTCTGATACGGTAATAACTCCTTTAAGAGGCCCCCGATGTAATTAAGATAATCTTTTTCCATCCGCTAATGTGTGCCCATTTTCTCTCTCATCCCCCTCATCTGGTCCTTCTATTATAACATATCGTCTGATGTCAGCTATAACCCATCTTGACTATCCTTCTCTCTCATCCCTTTTTTTGATTCTCTCTCTTCAGTAAAGTGAAGGTGTTGTTCGGGGGTACGGAGTTATTTGATGATGAGGTGCGGAAGACCTTCCACAGTGACATATTGCTGGCTTTGTTCAGTGGGGGATGCATTACTGTCCTTGTGTACGTTCTCACCTCATTTTCTGGTAAGACACTCACCAAGCATTCCAATAAAATAAACCCCGAAGACACCATGTTTTACAGTGATTTTAGCAGAGTTAAGGTTTTTGTTGTGCAGTCACCACAAAGTAAATATGCCAATGTTCAATATATAATTATATTTACAATTATGCAATTCTTTCAAGTTATTAGTTGATTAACTCTATGCTGGTTACATTTAACAAGCAACAGAGAAACTTGGTGCAGTGAATTCATTGTTTTGATTGACTGGACACTGATATTTATTGCATTTAGTCTGTATCACTTTGTCTGTGTTTGCTGTCAGTCTGTGCAGTGGGGGGGGGGGATTTTTCAGTGAGCCTTTCTGCAAGTTACATCTATCGACCTTATTTTTAATGTAAGAGCTGGCACAGACATTTTTAGCTTGAATGTGCAAGGCTTTTAAGCTGCTTGCAGTTATTTTTGCAGTACACTCCATAATACAAGGCTTAATGTACTGTTTTAATATTAATACATTTTTATATAGATTTTTCGCATGTGTTTTACCCATATTTTGAATTACAAATTGCATTGAATTGCATTTAAGGGTTAAAGGAAATGTCTGTACACTTAATGGAAAATATACTGGTAATTTTTTTGCCAGGCCATTATCTGTTTTTCGACTGATTGTTTTCTTACAGTGTATAAAACAGTCTTTTATGCTGATTGATGTTGCTGTATGTTATACTATTTTAATTTCTCATCATCATCCATTTCAATTGATCACTTTCAAAATAATTGTAATTTATTACAATCAGAAACACACTGGTTTGTGTAATGTGTGCTAATATAGAATCAAGTGCACGGCGAAGGAGTATAATCCAAAGGGGAATTTTAATAAATCCACAGGAAAAATCAATCCGAACACAAACAATAGCAGACCATGAACTGAGGGACAGAGAGGGCTTAAATACAAAGACAGGGCAATTAAGGAGAAACAGAACAGGTGTGTGGAACTAATTAACAATCAAAAACCATAGAAACAAACAAGGGAACACAGGCAAACTGGAATACAGAGAAACCAAACCAAAACACAACAGAAACATGACATTTCACCCCCTCCCGGAATGGCGCGTTCTCGAGCCGACAAAAGCAGTCCAACAGAGGAGGGAGGGTGGGAGTTCAGGAGGCGGCATGGGGCAGGTGAGAGGCAGGCAATGGGAAGGGGGCATAGTTCATAGGACCAGGGCGGAATAGATGGAGGGAGGAGCCTGGAGCAGGAGGAGCCAGGTGGGGAACCAGAGGCCAGCCAGGATAGTGGCACACGGTGGAGTCGACGGTGGGATAAGCCATGATGGAGATAGGGCTGACAACACCAGGGGGCCAACTGATGGAGACAGAGCCAGTGGAAGAGGAGCCCAGGATGGAGATGGATAACTGCAGAGCCAGGGTGTCACCGAGGATCCGGAGGGCCAAGGCGGAGCTGTTGGCTCAGGTGACCGAGGCAGAGACGGGGATCCGGAAGACCGAAGCAGAGCTGGGCAGAACCAGCAGGGGCTCAGGAGACAAAGGGGAGGTGGGCGGGACCAGTGGAAACGGGAGAAGCCAGAATTCCTAATTTAAACAGCCAAATAATTCAGAGTTCATCACTAGCTCACCCTCAGCAGTGGGAGTGTGGGCTGGGTGACATTCCATTCCCTCGATCTGCACAAGGACTCCCATGGCGTTACACGGTGTTGCCGGTTCACACACCTGGTCAGTCAAGTCTTCGAGCTCAGGCTCCGGGGCAATCATCCGCTCTGTTGCTTTATCCGGCGCTGGCGCTTTAATCGTGGCGGGTTCTGGCTCTGCAGCTGCGGTGGGCTCTGGCGATATCTCCGTGCATCTGAGTGGTGAAGGCTGGCTGGACTCTGGATCAGGAGTGGGGCTGGAGATGTCTCCAGAGGTGCATACGGAGAAATACAGTCCATTCTTCTCCAGCACCCACTCCACAAAAGCGACGAAATCCTCCTTGGGACCGTTCACTGGCAGGCGTGCCTTACACCTCTCGCTCAGGCTGGTGTAATAGAATACGTACAGTGAGCAGTCAGGGAAGTGCGTAAGGCACGCCAGATCTAAAAAGTTCTTGGTGTGGTCCTCCAGTGAACAGTTCAACTGCTCCAGGCATAGGAGCTGGACGGCTGGTATATCCATTTACAGGGAGAGGAGCAAAACAAAAGAAAGAAAAATGCTGTTATATTATTCACTTGAGGGTCTGCTATTCTGTAACGTGTGCAAATAAATAATCAAGCGCACGGCGAAGGAGTATAATACAAAGGGGAATTTTAATAATAAATCCACAGGAAAAATCAATCCGAACACAAACAATAGCAGACTATGAACCGAGGAACAGACAGGGCTTAAATACAAGGACAGGGCAATTAAGGAGAAAAAGAACTGGTGTGTGGATCTAATTAACAAATCAAAAACCATAGAAACAAACAAGGGAACACAGGCAAACTGGAACGCAGAGAAACCGAACCACAACACAACAGAAACGTGACAGTTTGTAATACAAATAGTTTTACTGTTTACTGCACTTTGTCTCGTAGGTCCCATTAGTTAACATTAGTTAATGTGCTAACTAAAATTAACAAGCAGTGAGAAATTCATTTGCTACAGTATTTATTAATCTTTGTCCAGGTTAGTTTGAAAAAAAAAAAAGTCAGCTCAATTCCATTAAATAATATTAACAGATAATTTTGACTAACATTTTATTTTAATAATGTATTAGTGAATGTTGAAATTAACATGTTTTAGAAGTATTCTTTTTAGGTCACATTTTATGTTAAGGTCCAATTCTCACTATTAACAAACTATTAACTATGTTTTTTGCCTCAATAATCTCCTAATTTGCTGCTTAATAGTTAGTAAGGTAGTTGTTAAATTTAGGATTCAGTGATCTAAAATATGGTCACAAAGAATAAGGAATTAATATCGGCTTTATAATAATAATTATTGCTTTATAAGTACCAATAAACAGCCAATATGCTATAATATGCATGATAATAAGCAATTAGTTAATAATGAGAATTGGTCCTTAAAATAAAGTGTTGCCATTTTTTTATTTTAAGAAATCTTTCTTAATATTTTAAGAATTTAGAATTCATTTGTTTTATTTAAATGTATTTATAATGAACTAACAGTGCACAATACTGCTTCATAGACTATTTATTTTTTCTTGGTTAATTTCAAGTTGTATAAATTGACAGTAGCTAATGTATTTGTCAGGGGTTGCCAGGTGAAGGCGCTTGAAGGAGTACGAAGGAGGCAGATATCAAAGTCTTTTAATAAACCCACTTGGGGAAAAACCAGGAGAAAACAACCTCTTTACATGACAGAGACACGACAAAGAAACAGGAAAGGCAGGGCTATTTATACAAAACCAAACGATGGACTAATAAGATGACTAATGCAACACAGGTGGAAACTAATGAATGATGATTAACTAAATGAGAACAGGAAATTAACCAAATAAGGGCAGACAGGAACTAAACAGAAACAAACACGTGACAGTATAAATTAAAAAAACGAATTATTACATTTATAAATTAACATTAATATACATTAATACATGCTGTCAAAATGGTTACTTCATGATCAAATGTATTAATAGTGTTAACAAATTGTATTTTTTTGTATTGCAAAATGTTACCTATTTATAAAAAATTAAAAATGCTGATTTAATTTAATATCATAGATCAAATGGATACTGGCTGGTCAATACATGGTTTCAGCCTTGCTAAAGTATTGTAGCAGATATGATTTAAGCTTAAACCTTGCTTTTATGACTTGTTTTTCATTGAAATTCCAACTGGATTTCATTTTCTCGTCTACAGAAAGGCCTCAGTATGCTTTGTATCAAAATATGTGTCAACAGATAAGCTGCAAATGATTTCTAAAATGAAATCTGACTGATGCCTTGAACCTGCACAGACTACCCACACATGCAGCAGCAGGTGTTTACAACTTTGTGCCGTATGGCTTAATTAGGCACAGCAGTAAACATGTATTTCAGCTACGAGTCTAATAAAAGCAGACTTGTTGATGATGGAGACTTGAAGGTGCACGAACTGTGACTTTGGTTGTTGTGCAATTCATCAAGTAAATCTTATTGATTTGGCAGTCTCTCAGCTCCACGGCTGGTTTTCTTGGTATATTCAGGTCATTATTAAATTTTTGTCAGAACATTCCTATGGAGCACCACTTTTCAGGAATTGAAACATTTTTAGGAAAACCTCGATAATGCTTTTTCAAATTACGTAACTTGACCTCTGTGCTTTATCTGTGCATCATATAACCTTTCCTGAACCTTCATAATTAATTTACGTCAGCTGCATTTGCAATGTGCTGCCTTGTAAGAGAAACAATAGAGAGCTCTCGAACGCCGTCGTTCCACTCAGCTTGTGCACCAATTTGTGAATGCTTGTTACGAAACCTTTAGCACTCTCTGTTCGTCACAGCACATTCTGTTAATTCAGGGATAAAAGGGTGAAAACACAGAAAACATCTTCTTGTGCTGTAAATCATGTAGGTCAAAAATATCTTGGCTAATGGTAAATTAAAAACTGCAGTTTGTAATGGTGACATATTTCAGTAAATCCTTGGTGAACTCAGTGTTGGAGCAATCAGCTTAAAGTACTGATGCAAACTTACATTTTTAAATACCATGACTATAGCTCGGCCATCAAAATAATGTAGTTCTTATAAAAAAAGGCTATTGTTGTAGTGCTACGTTTGCTAGCAGTTTATTGTGTGCGCAGCCATTCATTTTAGTGAATGGTTCAATTTGGATGATTTATTAAATGAACTTGGCCTAGTTCAAAAGAGAAAGGTTCACTGATTCATTTGAGTCCCTGTGCAGCATCTAAAGTAAAATATTTTGTAAAATTGTGCTGTTTATTGCTGTTTTTGCTGTTACACATCACACCATTGAAATGTTTGGTGTCATTAAGATTTACTTTTCTTCAGCAAGGACATATATTTATATAATTAAATATATTGATATATAAATAATTATTGCTGCTTATAAATTCTTACTGACCCCAAACTTTTGAATGGAAGTGCATATGATATAGATTTTCCTGGCTTTATAAATAATTTAGTGGGTACACATTTTGTTGCTTTGCAGCCTGAAATGAAGACGAACACAGTTTTTGTTTTATCCAGCTGTATTTACTCAGTGCAACTTATAACATCCAAGTGAAAGATATAACACCAACATGTCAGAAAAAAAAAAAACAATCACTGAGTTGGAAAAAGGATCACCCCCTCCTAAAAATGACTTGTAAACTCAATCAGGTGTAGCTAATCACCTTCTCAATGGCACACAAAGCCATTTGATTTTCAACTGTGATCAGCTGTGCTCATTTTGATTAGCTCAGCATGAAAAGAGTTTTCCTGGAGTATTTCAGTCCTTGGTAGTGCAACTGAAGCAAACAATCCACTATGGCACTGTCAAAACATCTCCGGGATAAAGTTGTGGACAGGCTCATGTCAGGAGATGGGTACAAAAAAAAAATTCAAAGGTTTTATTAATGCCTAGAAGCACAGTGAAGTCTATTATTAAGAAGTGGAAGGTATTTGGTACAACACAGACCCTCGCTGGATAAGGAACGTCGCTCCAAAACGATGAAAGAGCCGGAGGAAACCGCTCAGAGAGACGACCGAGAGGCAGACAGCAACTCTGAAGCAGCTGCAGGAATTTAAGAGTGGTCATTGTGTGCATATGTCAAAAATATCACAAATCCTCTACAAATGTGGCTTGTTTAGGAGGGTTGCAAGAAAAAAAAAATACTCCCCAAGAAAGGCCACATGCAGTCAGACTGAGCTTTGCCAAAATGCACGTAGAAGATTCTGAGGCAGATGAGACTAAAACTGAATTATTTGGCCTCAATACCAAAAGATATGTCTGACGGAAATCCGACACAGCTCAGCATCCAAATAACAGCATTCCTCCAGTAAAGCATGGAGGTGGTGATATCCTGTTATGGGCTGTTTCTCTGCAGCAGGGACTGGAGCACTCGTCAGGATAGAAGGAAACATGGATGAGGCAAAATACAGTCAAATTCTACAGGAAAATCTGCTGCCCTCTGCCAGAAAGTTGTCACTGGGAAGAAGGATTACCTTCCAACATGACAATGACCAACAGCACAGCAAAACTGAGCACACAGTGGTTGAAGGAGAAAAAGGTGAATGTCCTTGCATTATCTAGTCAGAGCTCAGACTTAAACCCCACTGAATATCTGTGGAATGACTTGATGACTGCAGTCCACAAACACTCACCATCAAATTGAACTGAACTTAAGCAGTTCTGGAAAGAAGAGTGGGCAAATATTGCAAAGTCTAGATGTGCAAAGTGACTAGAGACATATCCCAACAGACTGAAGGCTGTAATTAAAGCAGAAGGTGGATCAACAAAATAATTTTTCCAACTCGATGATTTTGTTTTTTTTATCTGTTGGTGTTATATCTTTCACTTGGATGTTATAAGTTGCACTGAGTAAATACAGCTGGATAAAACAAAAACTGTGTCCGTCTTCATTTCAGGCTGCAAAGCAACAAAATGTGATCATTTTAAAGGGGGTGATTCTTTTCTATACCCACTGTATATGGTGTTCATTTAGAACTAATAAAATCAAGTTATACTTTGATATCTAAAAAGTTGATATCTATATTATTTCAGTGCTTGATCAATTCTGCTATGATTGCATGTACAATTGTGGAATTGCAGTAATGTATTTAAAAGTAATTGCCCTTTTAAATAAATGTTTAGATAATATTTTTAGTATCTTGTAGTGTGTAGCTAACTAAAGATGACCTTTACTATGGTTGAACTGAGTAGCTTAGAACTTGGCAAGATACACTCTCAAACTAGTTTATCCAGCACTGAAAGTCAGCAGTGTAATTTCTTAATTTGACATTATGCTTCATACAGTATTCATTTAATTTGTCTGCAGTGTTTCAGACGTTCTTTGGCTTGGCCAGTATTGGTCTGAGCTGTCTCGTGGCGCTCTTCTTGTATCATGTGGTGTTTGGAGTGAAATATCTCGGTATTCTCAATGGAGTGGCAGCTTTCGTGATCATCGGCATTGGTGAGAATAATTAAACATCAACCTATGAGCATTGTAAATGAACATATATAGATCCTACCATCAGTTGAATCTTCCTCTTTCTTTTTTTCTAGGTGTGGATGACGTGTTTGTGTTCATCAGTACGTTCAGACAGTCAGCCCACCTGACTTGTTCAATGCAGCGTATGATTTACACAGTAAAGACAGCAGGCCGAGCCACGTTCCTCACGTCCTTCACAACAGCAGCAGCATATGCTGCAAACACCTTCTCACAGGTGCAGTCAGCCAAGCAGAATAAACATGTCCAGAAAATCAATCCTCAAAACCGAGTTGTGCTAACATTTTGACTATTTTGAAGGGTGTGTTCTAAGTGAAGTACAAGGGCTAAAACTACACTTAGGGAGAATTTTGTTAAGTTCACTTACAATGCTAGTCAAGGTTTTTGCACCAAAAACAGTTTTTAGTTTTTCTGAACTATTTTCTACAGGCTGTTTTTGCTGCTGTACCTTTAACCCTGTAAAGCTTTACATTCAATTTTAGTCAGAAAAATGACAAAAATATATATATATATCTTGTGTAATATTAAGTGTAAAATACCCAGTATATATCAGGGATTTATGGATCATATACAATATGGAGCTCTAACTCAAGAGGGGAAAAAACACCTTTGTTTTATTCAGAGGCCCAAATTGAGCAAAATATACAATTAGCTGAAGTTTCTGATATTTGTAGGGCCAAAAGTATAAATTCGGATAACTTGTAATGTAAATCAGTGAGATTTTTATAACAGTATTGCAGATTACTTTTATAAAATGCATAGAAATATCAATAATATTAGTAAGATTATATATAAAAGCTTACTTTTAACAAAGCTTATAATGCATTGCAATACAGTGATTATTGCGAGATGAATAAATAAATGTTCCTCAAAAGCCTGATGATTCATACTGTATTTTATTATACTCCATTTAATTACATTTTAACATCAACAAAAAAATGATGTATGGATAATCAAGTAAACCTAAGCTGCTTCAGTCCAGTAAGTGTTAAGTAAATTAGCTCTGTTATGATTGGCTAACCTCAACATATTAATCAGGGTTGCCCGGTCTGCGTGACAAAAACAGCCTAATTGGTGCTCAAAACTAGCCCAGTCGTGTTCTGGGGGAAAATGGGTATCAAAATGTGCGCTCCAGGGTGTCAAATCCTCCTTCCACGGGGTTCAACCTCGGTCGCAATCACATTCCAGGGGGGCAGGGATTTCGTTTCAACTTGCAGGCTAAAAGAACATCCCAGGGCAGCATTATAAAAGTAACACTGGCAACACTGATGTTACTGTAATTCGCATTGTTGCTCATCAGGGTTGTTTGCTAAATACTACACATGCATATGTCAATGTGCTCATGATCATGACGTCAATTTCCCTGATGATTTTTGCTAAGACGGTCAATTTTACACGATGAAAAAATAACACAATTTTAAAAATTCTGCTTTCAATCGTGAACTGTGCCCTGTACATTCTGTAATTTTCCTGTCATCAAAGCTTTAAGCGGTGTGATAAAACAAGCTAAAGTTCTGACTGAACTTGAGGATTTGTATGTGACCTCCTACTTCGAAGCTCAGGATCTAACATCAATCAAAAAATAAACACCATGAGCACAAAATGATTAAATTAGCCGCAAGAACATGTCGAGTAGACAGTCAAACGTTGCTTTATCTTTAAAGAGGGGTCTTATTTTATACACAGTAGTTTTGTACCCATGGGGCTTTTATGTTTCTGTCACCGACTCATGTTTATTCAGTAGCATATACTAGCGTAATGAAAATCTCGCCAGTTAATTTATTTCACAACATGCAAAGGACTGAAAAAATTCTGACAACACCTGACGCGTGACCTTTATCTGTTTTGCATGCATCATTAGATCCCAGCGGTTCATGACTTCGGTCTGTTCATGTCTCTCATTGTGAGCTGCTGCTGGCTTTGGGTGTCTATTCTCATGCCTGCTGCCCTTTGCATCTGGAGTCAGTGTGGAGCTGCCCATGCCAACACCTGTCCCAAATGGTAGATTGTGTTATTTCTTCCAAAATGTTTTTTTGAGAAATGTGCATGTTCTTTCTTTCAAATTGTTTAACTTATTAATTAACATATTGTTAATTCATTAAATTGATAATTGTTGAATTACTTACTTTCCTCTGTAGAAAGTGTTCCCCCCCCCCCATACAATGGAAGTCAATAGCCACCAAAACTGTTTGGTTACAACAGAACAAACAAAACACAGCTATTTTACAAAGTGGCAATTTCATATGAATTTATACGATGTGAATCGTATGAAATGTTTGATTTTTAGGGAAAAGGTAAGCATGAAGGTCCACATCTGTGGGGCATAAGCAGATTGTACAAAAACATGGAAATGAGATTCAAATTCAGTTCAAATTCAGACGAACTAACCACCAATTCACCAAAATATTAACTAGTTATGAATTGCCATTGTGAATTAATTGTTGATTGTGTATAATTGTGAATAATCGTGAGATTGTGTTGAGTTTTTTTTTGTGTGTGTGTTTTACAGAAGAAAAAAAGTCATACAGGTTTTTATGGCAACAGGATGATGGTGACAGAATTTACATTTTTGGGCAAACTATCCATTTAAAGTAATAGTTCGCCAAGAAATTCTAATTCTGTCATCAATAAAGTCATCATGTTGTTCCAAACCTGTATGCCTTTCTTTCTTTAATGGGACACAAACAGAAACATTTCAACATGCTGGTCACTCTTTTCCATGCAGTTACACTGAATGAATACTGAACCTTTCAAGATTAAAAAAATGGTGCAAAAAATCATAAATGCATCATAAAAGCAGTCCAGATATGACTCATGAGAGAAGTAGCGATGTCTGTTTAATGAATAGTTATTTTTGAGTCGAATCTTGCTAATGAATAAGCTGATCCAGTTTGAAAAACTGGCCTCAATGATTTGTTCATGAACAGACTGATCCAGTTCTCAAGATAAATTCACTGACTGAGTGATCCATTCCCAGTAGTTTTCAAGTTAACAGCTTGTTGGAGGGGAAGATTATTGGTGAATAACATGTTAAATGGTAACACTTTAGAATAGGGAACAGATATTCACTATTAACTAAGTTTTCCCTGAACAAACTCCTAATTTGCTGCTTATTAATAGTTAGTAAGGTAGTTGTTAAGTTTAGGATTAAGGGATCATGCAGAATAAGGCTTTATAAGTACTAATGAACAGCCAATATGCTATTAATATGCATGTTAATAAGCAACTACAGTAGTTAATAATGAGAATTGAGAATCTCAACTAAAGCTATTGCACAAGTCAGATGGACCACATTTATAGTTCTTTTGCTTTGCTTTTGAAGCTTCAGTCCCCATTCATTGTAACTGCATGGAAAAGAGCGACTGTCACAGTATTCAAAATATCTTCTTTTGTGTTCCACTGAAGACACAAAGTCATACTGGTTTGACATCAGAGTGAGAAATGATGACAATTTTCATTTTTGGGTACATAATTTGTTTAAAGTAACAGTTCACCCAGGAATACAAATTCTGTCATCATTAACATCGTGTTGTTCCAAACCTTTAAGATTTTTGTTTTCTTTCAATGTGCTATTCACTCTTTTCCCTGCGGTTACATTGAATACATGGAGACGAAAGCCTTTCAAGATTGAAGAATGATGCAAAAATACCATGTATCATAAAATCAGTCCAGATCTGAGAAGTAGTGAGGTCCGTTTTGAAAAATATTTTAAATTGAATCTTGATCCAGTTCTCGAGTTAAATTCACTGACTAAGTGATCCATTCACAGACGTGTTCGAGTTAACAGCTATTGCACAAGTCAGATGGACCACTTTTATGGTTCTTTTGCATTGCTTTTGAAGCTCGAAAGCTTCAGTCCCCATTCATTGTAACTGCATGGAAAAGAGTGACGAGCACAGTCTTCAAAATATCTTCTTTTGTGCTCCACAGAAGACATAAGGTCAAGTCATACAGGTTTGGAATGACATGAAAGTGAGTAAATGGTGACAGAACTTTTATTTTTGCATATACAAATTCTGTCATCAGTAACATCATGCCCTTCCAAGCCTGTAAGACTTTCTTTTTTTCCTTTCAATGTGCTGGTCACTCTTTTCCCATGCAGTTACACTGAATGCAGATGGAACTTTTCAAGATTAAAAAATGATGCAAAAGGACCATAAATGTATCATTAAAGCAGTCCCGATATGACCTACGAGCGAAGTAGTGATATCTGATTCATGCATCCTTATTTTGTGTTGAGCCTTTTGAATGAATTGGTTGCTGGTCACTCTTTTCCATGCAATTACATTGACATTTACATGCATTTTTGTGTGAATTATCCCTTTAACCCTAACAGGTGGAGCGCTTTAACTAAACTGTCCGCCAGCCCGAGTCCCCTCTCAGATGATGATGATGTTGCTCTAATAACGGTAGAAATGGAACCAGGTAATGATGATGACATCACCACGGAAGCTATTTCATTTTGGTAAAAGATTACAAAGACAGTTTGGAACATTTGGAATGATAAGACCATGAATGTGAACCAAGGAAGTAAATAGGATCTGTTTTGATCCTATTGTCATGTTGATTTGAAAATGAAAACCTTGGTGCATTATCTCAGATCATCACATTTGGCTGTTGAATCCCACCTTGTGTTGGTGATTTCTGTCCAGGTTGCTGAATGAGCTGCTTAGTCACTCCTTGTATTGTTGATTTCTGTGCAGGTGTGTACGAATCGGATGCGGCGCTGCTGTCGCTCTCGGCCGAAGCTCCTTTGGCCGTGTCCACCGAGGGCAGCGTAGGGGTGGTCAGCGCTCACCTTCAGAGGCTCCTGAGACACTGGGTGGCAGAGCCTGTAGTGGAGAAACGGAAAACTATTATAGGTGAGTAACGCTTGTCATGATGAGGAATGTTTAGAGGGTTTTCTCAAAAGACGCGATGTGCTTTCATAATGCTCACATTAGTTAAGCAACTTTATTCATTTTCTCTCAGCTCCAGACAATGCACTCACAGGCCGCCCACAGAGCATTCGCTTACTGTCTGATGTATGTCACGCACAAAACTACCAAGAGCTGACTGAAACCTTTCCCTCTGATTCAAGTTACTTTCTGGAGATTTTTATCGCTTTGTCTGGACTCAAAGTTATGTCAAATTAAGGTGCAAAGTTAAAGGGATAGTTCACCCAAAAATGTCTCCTCCGCGTCACCCTGGTGCCATTTTGGAGAATATCTACTGAAAGCAAACAGCGTATGCTATTCTGTGTCAATATATTTTATTATTATTATTATTATTATTATTATTTACAATCACATCAAACAACAGTGAACTGTGGTCAGATGAGATGTTGTCAGGCCATATGTCAGTAAAAACCAATTTTCCTGTCCTGTTAGCCGGTATACTGTGCTCGTAGCGAGTGCTCTTCCAACTGCACATACCAATGCGGTGGCACGCGTTGTAGCCTGTATCATTTAATATTAAAGCTCAAAAGAAACTATGAGTATGTTATGTCTTTTGTAGCTTTAATGATTCATCTTTATTTAATTTAGAATTTAGAGTTTGATAAACTTTTATTCATTTTCTGTAGATTTCCTACTTGCTGAAGGGCGCATTTATTATAATGGGTTTATGTGAAGATTGTTTTAAGTTCACTTAAATTAGAAGTTCTAAGCTTTCAGTTATACTGTAATGCTGAATGGCTGTTTAGTTTAAATATTAGGGGGAAAAAATCAGTAGTATTGGTTTCAGTGATACTCGCCTTCAGTCATAAAAAAATATTAAAAATATACTGTCTTTAGGTTGTTTTTACATTAATTTTAAGATTGAATGTGAAATTATTGCAATATAAAAGTATATTTAAAAACTTTAATGTTAGGTGGGATTAATCACGATTCATTTCAGAAAAAAATTTGATTAGTTAATTTTTTAATCGATACTAAATATACTACCATGCTTCTCTTTGCTGCAACATGTATACTTTATATAGAGTATATATAATATGTACACTCTAAAAAATGCTGGGTTAAATACAACCCAGTGCTGGGTAAAATAGGGACAAACCCAGCAATTGGGTTGTTTTGACCCAGCGGTTGGGTTACTACCCAGAAGGTTGGGTTAAACATTTAACCCAACCGCTGGGTCAAAACAACCCAATTGCTGGGTTTGTCCCTATTTTACCCAGCACTGGGTTGTATTTAACCCAGCATTTTTTAGAGTGTATGTATGCCAGTATAGTATATTATAGTATGCACATTTTCTATATGCATGGAATGACTGGATGACCTACTACACTTGCCAAAGTGTGCACTGTGCAGTGTACAACTGAGCTTCTGCATGGTATACAGTATACCACAATCTAATGCACTTGACATGACCTTCCATTTCCAGTGTGATGGATGAACCAGTAATATCAGCCACAATCTCTTTCTTCTCTCAATATTTGATAAGACTGCCAAGTGTGGAGACATTTTTACACAAAATTAGTGCAAAATAACTGGACACCACTCATTGAATTAAAAATGCAATGTGATGAGGTCACATGTCAAGTGTTGCATACACTCTAAAAAATGCTGGGTTGTTTCAACCCAATTTTGGGTCAAATATGGACTAACCCAACTGTTGGGTTAAATTCTGGTTACATTTTTAAATTAACTTTGGGTTAGTCCATATTTGACCCAAAATTGGGTTGAAACAACCCAGCATTTTTTAGACTGTACTATTGTTTGACATGTTTATATGGAAGAACGCCTATACTAAGTTGCTTACTATTTAATAGTAATAAGTATATAGTATGCAGTATACAGTACATACTGTGCAGTATTCAGTAAGTAGTAAGGTAGTGTTTCATTCTCAACACAGTCTAAGGATATGTTTGGAGCGAACTACCAACATTCTGCATCCAGATATTCTATGCATACTATGCAAAAATAATAGTCGGTTATCAGTAGGCCTACTCTATACATTTTTTTTTTAAATAAATAAAAAAATGTATTGTTAACGAAAGCTAGAACTAGGACTAAAACTATTAAAAATCTATATTAAACTATTAAAAATATTTGGTAATTAAAATAAAACTGAGATGAAATATAATATAAATGTTTAATGAAAAACTTGAAAACATGAAACTTAGAAATGTTGCCTTGGTAACTAATAATAATAATAATAATAATAATACGAAATGCCAAAATGAAAATATAAAATTAAATCTAATTAAAATTGATACATTATTATTTATAATATTAATAAATGATATAATAGTATATGAGTACTTTACCTAATTACCAGAATTTACCATGTAACTTAATCAGGATTGTGTCTAAATAATTGCACTGAAATTCATTTTTAAAAAATATATCTTTATAACTTCATAAGAACTAAAAACTGGTTGACAAAAGAATGCTTACAAAGCTATAAAGGTCTGATAAATGATTATCTGAAAACGAACAAAGAGTACACTAGTACTCATGCAAGTCAGATTTGGATTTCTCTGCTAATGTACACACAATTTGTGCATGAGTAAGATGAAAATTTCCTGGCTGTTTTGTTTCAGACTCTCTGTATTTTGTTTCTTAGTCTCAAGGTCAGTCTATTCATAGTTCAAACAAAGGAGCTATGAACCGTATCCCTTATGTGCCTGCAACAATACAATTGAGCTTGTATTAGCATGGTGGGGCGTAGCAAGAAATATCCAAAAATGCCTATTGTGTACATGCATATTTGTACAGCTGTATGCATGTCAATAAGCTAAATTAGAGCCAGGTTTCTCCCAGGCCACCACTGTTCTTTCCTCTTATTAGGTGAGCAGCCTGAGCAGTGTTGAGACAATGGTGCTATGATTATAGACTTAGAGACAGAAACGATACAGTCATGCATAATGTAGTAGGATGCACTTAACCTTTGTGCAAAAATTACCTGCCTTTTAAAAATTGCTTGTACATTTCACAATATGCTGTGTCATCACCAAATACTGGATTCAGCCTTTTATGAACTTGTTTTCTTTAACAGCTTACACTCTTCTGGGAAGTTTTTCCACAAGATTTAGGAGTGTTTCTATTGGAATTTTTGCTCATTCAACCAGTAGAGCAATTGTGGGGTCAGGCACTGATGTTGGGCGAGAAGACCTGGCTTACAGTGTTTGATGTGTTTGAATTAATTCATCTGTTCATCAGTAGTTGATGCAATGTTGAAATGCTGGCAAACCAATTCTTAAAATTGAAATTATTTTTGAAAATCCAGTGGTCAAATGCTGTGTGGACTCTCAGTTTTCTGTGTAATTATAGCCAGCTGACTAGTGACTGGTCTTTGTGTGAATGTCCACAAAACTGAAAGACTTTCTGAATGTATATAAGCGATAGGCTATTTTAGAAGGGAAAATTTAAAAGATGAATAAAAGGAGAATTAATAAATGATGAATCATTTATTGCTTTTGTGTGAATAATATGTAATCATGTAATCAATAAAAAGTAACTGTAGTCTACGAGGATTTTAAAATGTAATATAATCTAATTACAAAGTACTTAATTTTTGGAATCTGATTACGTAATCCAGATTACATGTAATCAGTTACTACCCAGCGCTGATTATAACATAACAAGAAATATGTTAGAAAGCCGATCATTTTTTAACCACATCACAAGTATAATGAGTTTTTAAAAAAATCCCCAAAAAGTTGTTATATCCAGTTTGAGCAAAGTCAGTAAATTTTAGTCCAGTGCATTAATATTAACCTGCATGACTGACCGGAACACAACATTAGGGTTAAACCCAGCATTAGCTTTAAATTGTGATAAACATCCTTCCCCCGTCCACATAGCCTGTACCACCGCACACTCACATCCCATCCTGTCTGGTGTTTCAGGTGTGTATGCTCTGGTTCTGCTGGGTTCGGTGTGGTGCTGTTGTCTCCTGCGGCCGGCCAGTCACGCGCCTGTGCTCTTCCACAGAGACACCAACCTGCAGAGACTGCTGGACCTGCGCAGCAACCTCAGTGCCCAGGGCATCGCCTGCCATATGTGCTCGGGTGGGTCTTCTAAATATCACAGACGGGCGCTGCTTGAGTATATACTCTAGTGGCTCATTGAAAACAATTGCTTGACTCATTTGCGCTGCCTTATTTAATTAGCTTACAGATTTTCTGCTTAGGGAAAGATACAGTGGATGAAGGCAGCGGGCAATGAGCCGAAACATTTGCTTTTGAGTAGTGCCAATATTTGGGTGTCAAGCAAATATAAAGTCTAGTGTCACCCTGAAGGGATTTATTTTTCGTTGTTTTGATCAGCTGACTGTACATTATCATTATCAATTACATTGTTTAGCAAACATATTTGACCCTGAAATGCCACAATTGAATCAGAATCAAGTATCCAGAGAGTGTGCATTCACAAACATTATATAATGCTTAACAGAGCAGTTATATATATATAACACACACTGTGTTTGAGACCAGATTGAAAACCTTTTCAAAACTATTTGAATGTACACTACTTTTGAAAGGTTTGTGGCGAGTAATTTGATTTTTAAAGAAATTAATACTTTTATTACAAGGATGCGTTAAAATGTTTAAAAGTGACTGAAAAGACAAAAATATATTTCAGATACACATTCTTTTGAACGTTCTTTTCATCAAAGAATCCTGAATAAAATGTATCGCAGTTTCCACAAAAAATATTAAGCAGCACAATTGGTGTCTACATTGATAATAATCATGTTTCTTGAGCAGCAATCAGCATATTATACTGATTTCTGAAGGATCATGTGACACTGAAGACTGGACTTATGATGCTGAAAATTCAGCTTTGATCACAGGAATAATTACATTTGAACATATATTCAAATAGAAAAGTGGTATTTTGTAATAATATTTCACAAAAGGTATTGGCATTCCATGATTCAATTATGATATTAAATAAGAGCAATAATAGTATGGTAATAGCACAGTGCTATGATAAATATGGCATAGTACTGTACATCCAGATACTTGTAGTAATATTATAAACTGTAATATTAATCTTTATTCTACAATGGTGCATGCCTAAAAATTCCACTGAGTATCTCTAAAGCAAAATAATAAATAAAGTGGAGTCAAATTCTTACTATTAACTAACTGTTAACTATGACCTTTGCCTCAATAAACTCCTAATTTGCTGATTATTAATAGTTAGTAAGGCGGTAGTTAAGATTAGGATTCAGGTATCTAAAATATAGTCTTGCAGAATAATGCATTAATACCCGCTTTATAAGTACTAATAAACAACTAATATACTAGTAATAGGCATGCTAATAAGCAACTAGTTAAAAGTGAGAATTGGTCATTAAAATAAAGTGTTAGCTAAAGTGGTACGGTCTGACGTTTCCCACCTCTCTCTGTCTCACAGGTGTTTTTATGGAGCGACCTCATAATCTGCACAGCACTGCTGACTTCACAAGCTCTACCTCAGGGAACCATCCCACAATTCTCTTAAACCAGACCAAGCCAGCATCCAACAACAGCGCACAGACGCTCGCAGGTTTGTTTCTCTGCTCTGCTGGGAGGAAAGGGTGGAAAAACACTGACACCTGTTTTATCAAAGCTTAATCAGTCTTTGATGCAATCCGATCGCTGCTGGAAAACAAGGTCATAGCAGTGGCTGGTAAAGCAGTTTCAGAGCATGGTTAGTCAGCTCACCCAGGCCTCCACCAGCTAAGCTGAGGTGCTCTACTAGCTCTAACCAGGCTGGTCAAGACGGTCAACCACACAGGTTCTCTTCTCCAGGTCCTTCTATCACTTTCTGAATGATCACTGAAGACAGTATTTTAAAATGTATTCAAATAGAAAACATGTTTAACATATGTTACATAGATAGTAGGTTACTACATAATAGTCCATAACATGACAGTTTTACTGTATTTTTGATCAAATAAATGCAGCTTTTTTAAGCACAAGAGCATATCAAAAACACTAAAAAAATCGTAATTATTCCAAACCTTGTGACCAGCAGTGTATATTCGTATTATATTTATATGCAGTGCTGGGTAGAATACTTACAAATTGTAGTCCGTCTCTGATTATAAAATTATAGTTTATAGTTGGATTACACATATTAGGTAATGTATTCTGACTTCTTTTTCTTTACTTTTAGATTACTTTTGACCTAAAATATATTCCATGCTTTAGCAACATCATGAAGTGTAATGCACATTTCATTATGCCAGGATTTCCCAAACTGAGGTTTATGAATGAACTACAGGGGCTTGTGAGTCGGTGAAAAGCAGGAAGACTTTCTATAATCAAATTATGAATAATTTACTGCCATTGTGTGAATAATGTGCAATCATGTAATCTATGAGCATTTTAAAATGGAATGGAATCTAATTGCAAATACTTAATTTTTTTAATCTGATTATGTAATCCAGATTACATGTCAATACGTCAGTTACTACCCAGCGCTGTTTATATATTATCAGCCATATCAGTTTTGATATTGTGTCTGGATGCTAGAAGCTAAGAGGCTTTCACAGAAAGTTCGACAGCTGTGCAATGAAAAGCAAACAAAAAACACTGAAGTAAAAATTCATTGCTTTGGAAATGATATATTGTCTCTATCCAAAATCTATCAAATTATGAAACAAGAGCTATAAGCATCTCCACAAAAGATGTTGATTCAGTTCAGTTCAATAACAGTGCAGTGTCCATCAGTTATGAACCAGTTTGATGCAGGTATAAAGCAGCTCTACAGAAGACAAGAGTGTCATTATTTAGCTAACTGTACTGCAGCTTATCTAAAGTAATCGTAGCTAATGACCTGCTAGAAACCATGCAATTCCTATTGGAATCTGGTTTTAGTTTGACAGTATATTTAGAAACGGTCTGCTTAACAATTGCAAAGTGCATTTAAATAAAATTCTGGCTAAATTCCCACAGTTAATTAACCTAATGAACTTTATGTGCTGTGAAAACATACGTTTGGATGTTCTCTAAACTCCTCACTGAAGAAAATTTCACTCTGAATCCTCCCCTTAACAGCCGTTAAAAAAAATAGGTAAAAAAAATGATAGGACCCTATTATGGACAACATATTCGTATATATCATCACTATTTTACGTGACACACACACAACTCTCACACATACTCCTGAACTCTGCTCCTGTGAAATCACAAAATGTGAACAAATGCATCCCATTACTGATATACATGCACTGCATGCTTGCAAATTTAATTGGTTTTTTAAATCCCCCCCTTAAATCCAAATTAATGTTTTGTTGCTTATATTTCATGTCTGTTTGCTGTGAGGTCATAAATGGAGTGCACTCCTAAAGTTTGAGAAAAATATGCTTATACAAATGCCTTATACAACCTGGCAATAAAGGGTCAAAGTTTGTCAGCTGAACAACTTTTCACAAACTTTTACTTGAACATTAATTTAGACATCTCATATACTACCTTTTAAAAGTTTAGGGTTGGTTATATTTATACATGTTTTTGAATTTATGTTCACTAAGGGTGCATTTATTTGATTTAAAATAGATGATACAGTAATATTGTGAAATAGTATTACAATTAAAAATAATGATGATATATATATATATATATATATATATATATATATATTATTATATATTATTTGAATTTGAATATAAAAGCCATTTGTAACATTATACATGTCTGTACTGTCACTTTTGATCATATTAATGTGCCCTTGCTGAATAAAAGTAGTAATTTATTTCATAAATAAATAAATACTGACCCTGCTCTTTTGAACAGTAGTCTATTTGAAGTCTGAGGCACTGATGTAGTAAACCACTGTTTCTGTGAATTTCTGCAGGTGGTCTCCTTACTGTCTATGTGTTTAAACTGGACACGGGCTCTGTTGTCCCTCTATATCGTTATTCAATAAGTGCCAGTGTACCTGCACCCTGGCAGGCTTCATCGTCTGCACACGGGGATGTGCCCTTCTTTCAGGTCTGTATGGCCACACATATTCATGCAGACACCTATAAACACACACATAAACGCCAAGATTGTGTGCCATTATTTGAAATTAATTGAGAATGCCTTTAAGTTTTAGTTATGTTCCTAAATTTAAGTTGAATTTGAATTAAAGGGGTCATATGATGCTGCTAAAAAGAACATTATTTTGTGTATTTGGTGTAGTGCAATGTGTTTATGCGGTTTAAGGTTTAAAAAACACATTATTTTCCACATACTGTACATTATTGTTTCTCCTCTATGCCCCGCCTTTCTGAAACGCGTCGATTTTTACAAAGCTCATCGGTCTGAAAAGCGAGGTGTGCTCTGATTGGCCAGCTATCCAGGATATTCAAAGAAATTCAGTTATGGCTATAATGTATATTGCTCATTTTTCACTATGAATTTTAAACATCATAGCAGTGTTATTTTAGTATATTTATATACCATTACAGTATATATTAATATTTTAAATGAGCTTTTATTTTTATATATTTAATTGTTATGTGCTTTTTGACATTTCTAATTGCATTTTTTCACATATTTCTATTCCACTTTAATTTATTTAATTTAATTTAGTAATTTTAGTACTTATATTTATTTAATTTTAGTTAGTTTCAAAGGCAACATCTCTATTTTTTATTCAAGTTTTTAATTTTTTTCATATAATATTTATAGTTCCCATTCAGTCAGTCACGTTCTACGTTACGTCAGTGACTGACGAATTGGGATCTCGCCCGAGAGCCCAATCACCTTCGAGTGTTAACTAAACAAGCCAATGACAGTTGGCGTGCGTGTTTCGCCACACGCACCCCGCCCCGCAGCGCGGGTATAAAAGGAGAGCGTGTGCAAACGCACATGAAACACGCTCGCCAACTGTCATTGGCTTGTTTAGTTAACACTCGAAGGTGATTGGGCTCTCGGGCGAGATCCCAATTCGTCAGTCACTGACGTAACGTCTCCGTTCCTTCCTTCAGGGAACGAGGGTTACACAAGTAACCTAGACGTTTTTTATTAATTTCCCAGGATAATTTTTTTTATTTTTTACAACTTTACTATGAAAACAATGTTGTGAATATTTTGTGGTGCTGTTTGGAAAAACAAAACCTGTTTGTCATTTTATTAAATATTTTGACCGTGTTGAAATGTCTGCTCAGTTGAGAAAAAAAATATTTTACATATAGAGTGAATAAGTAATGAAAATAATGTTTATAAATGATATTTTGTCTAGTGTTGAACTAATGAATTATCTTTGTGTAACTGCTGAATGTCTTTGAATTGCAATTCAGTAAATTACTCTTGCAGTCATTCCAATGCAACATGCTGTGAGACGTGGTTAATTCAATTTGGATTTACACTTATGAAAAAAAAAGCCAATTCTTTGTTTTTGCCTGACCCTGGCGAACACACACACACACATGGCTGGCAGTTGAATATTCTCCCATAAGCAAAGAAAAAGAAACAATGGCCTATACGAGAGACAGCTGTGATAAGCTATTTTCTTGAAAACATAATTACGGCTAGCAAATGTGTTTTTTCACATCACTTAAATACCTTCTGTACACAGACAAAAGCCATTACCGCCCATTTGCTAATGCTTCAGTGAAAAAAACAAAGCTTTCAGTGTACACAATCTATAGCGAGCCCTCAGAATTCCATCATCCTCAGAGGAGTTTGTGCTGCGTAATGTCTGTGGTGTGTGTTGGTATCACCTCATCCCATTCCATCTGAGCTGACAAACGCTGATGGATGTGTTGTCACGGTAACAGGCCTACAGCAGTCCTCATAGCAACTTCAGCACGCGGATGAGCGTGTGTGTGTCTCACGCGTATCACCCGCGCCCTCGCTGGATGCTGACTCTGCGCTCGTGTGACGCCAGCCGGCGCTGGAGATCAGAGCTTGACTTCTACGTGGCGTCGGTCGAGCAGCGGCACAGCAGGTGAGTGTGAAAAAACATGTGATGTCCACTGATGATCCATGACTGATTGACATCTTTTTTATTGCGCCTCCACTGTGCAACATTTAACTACTGTATGACTCAGTGCTCCATTTTAGCATATCAAAGTGTCTGAAAATGAACTGGGAGGATAACAATCTGGTAATTGTCTATATTATGGACAGGAAGCTCTATTTTGCCCAGCACACGATCAGCCCATACCCCAGTCGTGTGTGTGAGGGGCCGCCAGGGTGTGTGTTCAGCTCTGGACCTGATGGACCCACTCAGGGCAGCTTCTACGCCCCACTACCTGCAGGTACAGGCGTGGGTTTTAATGTATTTGAAGTTGTGTATAATTTAAAGGGATAGTTCACCCAAAAAAATTTAAATTATGTCAAGTCGTTCCAAATCTGTGTGAGTGTCTGGGGGGTACTATGGAAGTCAATGGCTACCAGCAAATGTAATAAATAAAATAAATAAATAAATGAATCATGCCTCAAAAGTATACTTTTAAAAGATGTACTTGCAGATAATATGATAGTAATGAAATAAAGGCCACTTAAGTGAACTCAGAAGAATTCACATTCTATGTTACTTAAGTACACTTTGTAATTATGTCAAATTAAAAGTTTTACTTTAATGAATTTAATAAAATTTTGGTAGTGCTTTAAAGAAATATATTTATTTTGATGCACTGACTAAAATACTAAATCACATGTAAGGTACTTGAATATAACTGTAGTGTGATATTCACTATTACATTTAAAGTTAATGTATTTTAAATCTACTAAATTGCAACTTCATAGTTAAAATGTAATTATATATATAATATATATATATATATATATATATATATATATATATATATATATATATATAACAAATAAATTATATTAAAGTATATTTTAGTTTGTTATAAACTTTCAGCATTCAGCAGTGCACTTTAACCATATTTCAAAAACAATAAAAATAATTATAAAATTATATATAAAGATGTACTTAAGTGGGTCGAGCACTCTTAAGTTCAATGAATTGCATTTAATATAAATTTAACTATAATACATTTTATTTTAATAAATTTTCATTTAATTTACTTTTTATCATGCAATGAAGTCTCTAAAAACACTACATTCAGTTCACACTTAAGTATATTCTTTTAAAGTACATTATTTCCACAATAAGTTTTATTTTTTTTAAGTATGCTAACGTGCACTTCTTTTTCATAACGGTCTATACACGAGTGACCTTGTGAGTGACCTAAAAGTATCTACAACTGAAGTTTACCTTTAGAGATCTGTTTATGTTTTGTGGGCAATGAATAGCTGAGAAATATCAATATTTCAGGATAAATAGCAAATGCATGTATAATGAAGTTATGATTTTAGGTGGTTTAATATTCAGGTTTTTAGTTTTTTTGCAGTTCACTTGCAGTCCTGTGGTGAGAACAATTAATTTAAGGACCCCATGAAATCAAAATTAGAGCTCTGGGGCTTTTAGTTTATGTCTATTAAAATTGGCCAAATTACATTACGATTTTGACGTATGGGGTCAGTCAGATTTGTTAATGTTTTTAAAAGAAGTCTCTTATGCTCACCGAGGCTGCATTTGTTTGATCAAATATACAGTGAGAAAAGAAGTGAAAACACATAATCCTTCAGAAATCATTCTAATGCTGATTTGCTACTTACCATTTTTGTGGAAACCAAGATATTACCCCCCCCCCAGATAGAAAAAATAACAGAAGAACTGCATTTATTTGAACAGAAATATTTCATAACATTATAAATGCCACTTTTGATCAATTGAATGCATCCTTGCTGAATAAACGTATGCATTTCTTTAAAACATACAGACCCCAAACTTTTGAACAGTAGTATAGTTTTTAGCAGATATAAAAACATTTAGAATATACAGTGTTTCTTGCAAAAAAAAAAATTAGGTTCTTGGAATCAATATTCATGCGATATGCCCCAAATTTCTGGTTTCAAATAAGAAACAAAGTGTTAATTTGATGCCTTAATATTCCATAAATTACACATGACATATGTTTTTAATGAGTATGACATGATTTGACACTGCAGGAGATGGCTGTCACTGCTTGAAATTTCCATCGGCTATCCCATTACAAAATCAGTTTAACAATCTTTCTCATTTAGATGCTAAATGCTTTCTTTTTAAAATGCTTTTATTTCTTTGATAAGTGTCAGAAACATCTTGTATATCTGATCAGCTCCCAACCAGATTAAGATCTCCAGGACATCCGGCTTTAACCCCTGCAGCGGAGGTCAGTGTGGAAAACCAGCAGTGCGTCCTCTAGTGGACACCGGAGCCATGGTGTTCGTGGTGTTCGGCATACTGGGCATCAACCGCACTCAGCGCTCAGACAACCATGTTATTGGAGACCTGGTAAGACAGAATACAACCGTTTACACTGAGTGCAGAGAGGAATCATCAATATAATGTAAAGTCCCTTCATGGTTAATCATAGTCAACATCCAAAAATGGCTAGTTAACTTAAAGGGATAGTTCACAAAACTAACCCAAGTCAAAGCTATAGGTAGCTGGATAGTTAACTATTTCTGGTGGATTTTCAAAGTATGAATCCCTGCTGGCTTTGTAACATTTTCCACAACTCCCAATGCTTTCAACAACAAAAAATGCAAGGCGCCAAACAACTGCTTCAGGTCATTTTATAATATCTTGGTCAATGTCACAAATTTCCTCATGTAATTCATGACCTAGAACCGTAACCCTTTAAAGCCTACTGTATCATTTTATACACACATTTTATGGCCTCCAAATGATCAACATGATCAAAACCTGTTGTACACAGTCTACCACATGCCTTCTGTCGATTGATAGTTTATGCTTTTAGCAAGTAAAAGGTTTAGTATAATTCTAAAATCTGTCTACCTTCAGGTCGTGGTTCATGTGTCTTTTTGCTGTGAATTCTTGAATGATTTTTATAAACATAAAAATAACTTTTATATTGTCAATAATATTTCAAAATGAACACTTACTGGACTGAAGCAACTTAGGTTTACTTGATTATCCATATACATAATACAATTTTATTTTTTTTAATTGTATCAAATATGATTATCAGGCTTTTGTGGAACGTTTATTTGTTCATCATTGTATTGCATTATATGTTTGGAACTACAGAACTTTGATCATAAAACTAAGCATTTACATATCATAGACATACTATTGGTAAATATAACGTGACAACTGATATTTATATAATTTTAAGTAAGTAGTCTGCTATACTGTTATAAAGATCTCATTGATTTACAGTACAAGGTATCAGAATTTCATTTTACTTGTCGGCCATATAAAGAGCTTGGTGAAATTGGGTGCACCTCAGTGCCTACTCTCAAACTAAAGTACATAATTTTACAATATATGAGGTATTAGGTAAAATAGGGATGCAAATTTTGAGATGTAAAAACGGCATTATCAAACTGAATATATGCCTAAATTGAAAATAAAAATGTGACTGTGATCTGTAATGTATCATACATAACTGATAGTTTTGTGTCATATACAGAGATCTGGCATGAAACTCTAGATGGTGCAGTCCGATAGGTCTTACTCAATCTGACCTAATGACATCATTATCACATGGCACAGCTGATTGGTTCTCTCCTGTATCGGTAGCGAATGAGCTCGCTGCTCAACATTCAAATGTATGACTAATGCTTGCCGTAGCAGTTGCAGCTTGCTTCAGAAACCCTCCACCTTCCCCAGCTCCACCTGTATAGATCTGCTACGAGGTGATTCATGCACGCTATATGGGGTTATTTCATGTATGTTATATTTGCAGCAGCAATATTTCTTACATGCTCACAGAAGCATGTTGTGGATGTATTGGCAGTAGCAGGTCATGTAGCAGATCTATTCCGCCAAGACCAAACACATTAACATTGTCATGTACATTACCATGCCAATCTCTCCGAGAGTTGTCATGACAGAAATATTGTTGAAAATGTCTCAACTAGCAAAATACAAAAAGCATAGTTTCAGGTAGAGCCTAAACAATACCAAGTACATGTAAACAGTATACACATGCATATTTTGGGACGTGTTTTGGTTTGTAGCTTCACCAAAATAGTAGTAGTTCACATATATTTATTTAGAGCAGGTGTTCTCAATTCAAACACAGCATAACACCACACATAGATCTTGTGGTTATTCTCATAGAATGACATTACATGCTGCTTTGCTAAAGTTAGAGGACATATGAGTGCGTCAGGATGATGACGATACGCTGTTTTCCAATGTCATTTGAAAACATCAGAACGTTCAACCAATAGAAACTGGCTCTCAGGTTTTGTGTTTAGTGGGTAGGGACGATAAGTAAAGAACAATCGGGGACTGTTTTGGATTGCATTGATCACTCATATTGACAGCTCTTGCAATTACCATTCGCCATAGAATAGAAGCGCGCAACTCATCAACGAGAATCTTATTAGCAAATTATTTACATGTTTATACATGCAGGTAGTTCTTATGTTCATGTATTTGAGCTATTATGGTCATATATGTGGGATTGTTCTTTTTTTCCCACAAAAAAGCAATTTTGAATCAAAATATTTAATTCTAAAGTTAGTTTTTTAGTCTATTCAATATTTAATGTTTTATTTTTTTTTTTGGAAGGGAGGAGGGGGATTCTGAGCCAAATTTTCAGCCAAGCCAAATCGCTTGACAGCTCTAATTTTTGTTGTTTTAGACCACCTACAAGGGAAAGTCTTCATTTCAGACTCACTCTGATTTCCTCCAATGGGAGAGTTTCCTGCAGAAGCAGCTCGCATCACTCCCAGCATCCTCGGTCCTGAGACGAGGCTTCCAGACCTGCCAACACTGGAAACAGATCTTCATGGAAATTATAGGCAAGAGAGCAAAAATAGAATGTGGCAAAGACAGAAACGAGCTTTGATAAAAAATGGCTCTGATTAAATAAATGAGCAATTTAAGAGCGATTAGTCTGAGGCGCAGACATCATTAACATGAGTGCTTATTAACTTCACTCTGAATGAATCTGCAGTCAGATTCTCTATTTATGTTGCATTTAACCTTTCTGAACTGCTCTTTATGCACTGCCCCTTGACTGTAGGTGTGGAGAGCGCCCTCTACAGTCTCCTGCTGTCACTTGCCATTTGCATCGCATCAGTAGCTGTGTTTACTGCTCATCCGCTTCTGCTGCTGCCAATCCTGCTGAGCATTCTGGGTATGTCATACCTGTACAAAATATTAACGATTAGTGTTATATATTTTTGTAGTTTTTTTCTTTTTCTTCTTTTTTAGTGAACATCAGATGTTAATTTCAACCTAAAGATCATAGGAAAAAAGAGTGCACAAAGAACATGTTATTATGCACAAATAAATGTAAGCCTATTTTTATTTTTTGCATAGTGATATTATTTTCAATTAAAATAATTGATTTTATCCCAAAATTAAAATTATAGTGGTGCCAAAAAAATGTATGTATTATTTACTTTTTAAATATTTATAATACATAATGCATAATTTATACTGAATTAAGTTGATTGAAATAATAAATGGTTTTAAATGTAGTAAAAAAAAAGCATTACAGTGTCGTTAATGTTAACTAAAATTTAAAAAGATATATTTTGTTGAATATTAAAAACATTACAAAACATTAAAACTAGCTAAAATTAACAAAAAAAAAAAACTAAACTAAAATTTTAATATTTTAAGGTGTTTTAAAATTTTAATATTTTAAAACTTAATATTTTAAGGTGTCCTTGTTACACATGTTACATGTACTTACTATAATAATAACAATTAATTATGTATAATTACATGCAAGTAAGCCTAATCCTAACCCTAGCCATTTAGTAAGTACGTTAATTAATAATACTTAAATGCATATGTACACTGTAACAAGGACACCTTAAAATAAAGTGTAGCCAAATATTTTTTTTAAAAGAGAAACTAAAATGACAAAAGCACATAACAAAATTACTGAAATGGAAACTGAAAATATAAAAATAAAAGCTAATTCAAAATATGAATAAATACTGAAGTAGTGTATAAATAATATAACACTGATTACAGTATATGACAAACTAATGAGAATTATCATTGAGAAATATGATAATTACAACGACAAAAATCAAATGGACAACATCCAGATACATTAAAGCAATACACATTTGGAGGTCAAATGTGCAATAAGTCACAATGCAAAAAATTTAAAACTGTCCTAAAATGGTTTAATACTTCTTTAGATTATTTGTGCATGAAATGTGACCTGGGTGTACTTGTGTAAGATTCACTCTTTAATTCACTGTGACCCCTTGAAATAGTTTACCACCATTTATTACGGCCAACTAATTTTCATTGAGGATACTAAAATGCAGTATCTCCCTTTGGACGGTGTCTGCCATTCTGTTGAATTTAATTGACTCATGTAATATGTACTGACGGTGAAAATCATTGCCTTTGAAATGTGCAGCTCTATTCCCATCTCATTTATATGTTAATACAATATGCCAGACATGACTGTAATTTAACTCGCTTTCAACTGGGAATATTATCACTACAAGTGTGATTACTCAGACTGAACGAATATACAAATTATGCAAAATGAAAAGAGACTCAGAAAATCATCCGACTCCTACGTGTCCAACTAAACAAGGAATTGAATTCAAGGCTTGAATTCAAGTAGAGGAAGGAATAATAATAATAATAATAATGGTAAAAAGAAAGGGGACAAAATGGAATGTTTTTGAGCAGTGTGACCCTGAAATGGGACCCTGAAAAGTTTTAAATAAGCATTAAATCTTGGCATGATGTGTGTTGGCAGGTATGGTGTGTCTGGTGGTGGCGGTGATGTATTGGCTGGGATGGGAGATGGGTGCGGTTGAAGCCATCTCTCTTTCCATATTGGTGGGCTCGTCGGTGGACTATTGCCTTCATCTAGTGGAGGGATATTTACTGGCGGGGGACGCTGACACCTCAGGACTAGCTAATCACAGTTCGGTATGATTTACATTTAACCATTAGCGTTGAAATCTCCTGTGATGTTGAAATGAAAAGTTTGTTCCTGACTGTTTTCATTATATGCTCACATCCCCACTTCATTTGGTAGTGTTCTGGGCGTGTAACACTGAAGATTTGATGGATCCCATGTAGGGTAATCATTTAAGCTGTTCATGTGCAGGGGTTTTCTTCCAGCATTGTGCCCTAGAGCAAGGCACTGAGCGCTGGGACGCTACAGGGAACTCATTTAAAACGGCCGACTATAAGCTGCCCTGGATAAAACAGCTTATCCTAAATAAAAACCAAAAACAAGTTCATGCTCTCAGTCATATGCATAATAGACAGGGAACCTGTAATGGAACCCTCTATAAAAAAATGTTTTATAATGACATTCTTGATGCATTATATTATAACACATTAATAATACATTCAAATAATGCAATTCATGGCTATAATTAAGCAATTTTAAGGAGGGAAATACGATGAGACAAAAACAACAACACTAGATACTAACTTAAGGTGCATGTAATAATGAATTCTAATGGTTTTCTTGATGCATTGTAACACATTGATTAAACATTCATAATTATTAGATCTATAGTTATAAGTGTTCCTCACGTGTGTGAGCTGTGTGTGTTTAACCCATACACTCAATAATCTCATCAGAAATATTACTGATGAAAAGGGTTGTTAATGAAGTGTTTTGATTTTGTGTGAAGAAAAATGCAATTCTGATAATTAAACCATTTTAAAGGAAATATGACAACACCGCTAGATAATAACTTTAGGTGCAGTCACACCATGTCATGATTACTGTAATTACTATATGACCACCTGGATATTTTATTTGGAGACGTTCACATACTCAGACTCGAATTCTGTTTCTGTGGCAACACTATTAACTCCAGAACTCATCAGGTTTTTAGTGGGTACAAAAAAAACAAAAACGCGTAACTTTGCAAATCAGTAAACAAGTCATTATGATTGAATGAATGAATGAATGAATGACTTTATTGTCATTGTACAGGTACAACGAAATGTAATGTATGTTTACAAATACAAATATGTATATATAACTAATATGCCTAATATGAACAAATATGCCTTGTATAACTGATCATTATGATTATAACATTTATTTAAATATCTTCTAACTTTCGGAGCCGATGGCCTCGTATAGTCAGTGCTTTGAGGTGTAATGTGGTTGTGCTTCGGGAGACCCGAGTTCGAGTCCCAGCTCAAGGACCTTTCATGATTCAAAAGTTCTAATTAAAACAGTAATAATAAATGTTAATAAAAGTAAAATAAGAGGAGTATATATATATAACTGTGTACTGAGAAATGTCAGGACAACCGCAACCTCAAATAAGAGGAGGCTGACTCTATAAATAGCTGATTAGAGAACATGGATGTTGAAACAAACAAACAAACAAACAAAAAAACTATGCATACAATAAAAAAAACTATGCATTCAATGCATAGTACAGTGCTTTTACTATGCATACAAATGCAAATCTGAATAAATTATAAAAACATACCTGCATAAATGTCGTCTCAGAGAGAGAGTGAGACATGTAGCCTATCATGCAAAGTTTAAAACATTTAAATAGACATATCAAGCAGTAGTATTTAAGTCGATATTACTCTTGCCAAGCTCTGATTTCTGAGAGATATGTGAAGAGGAAACTGTTTGATTTACGATCATTTCATTCGTGTTTACACTCATTCAGTTCACACACTCAATATTGCATAGTGATTTTAGAGGTCATGTATAATATCGCTCTGTTCCCCTGGATCACCTGTTATCCAGCAAACACCAGGAGTGACTGTGTCAGCCTCAGCCGAATATTATTCGGCACAATTATTCGTTAATTTTTTTGAAGCCATTATCCGTGACTTTCTGAAAAAGGTATTCGGCTTCGGACACACCCCTATTTAACAGAACATTAGACATTAACTATCCAACTATTTTTTAGCTACTCTTTTGTTTATTTTCAGATTAATCTCACAATAATTAGACATTAACAATAGTCAATTGTAGGAATTACTATAGGAATTTACTACTTGAAATTGGTGCGATTTTCAACATTATTCAGTGTTTCAATGCATGACGTTGCAGAGGTTAAATGGTACAAGTCTGAGCTTTCAGAAATACAATGACGCAAACACTTTTTATAAGTCAGAATCTCATAATAACAGTAATTCCGATAAGGCATGAATGCACCTAGTGAAGAAGAAAAATAAAGCAACAATGGCTAATAATGTGGGGGACTGACCCATTTGAACTGAGTGAGGTGTCGCTGAACAATGAATGAACACCAGCGCTCTACCAGTGGGATAATAAACTCACCCAAACGCATCCTATACATTAATAGATTAATCAAAAACATCCACAACATGAACATAATATTACAACTTCTGCACAAAATAACACATGTGCACAAGTGAACTTGAGCTATGCCATGCTGTGGATGAACTCCCTAAAAATGTACTAAACATAGATAATAAAAAACTAAACAAAAAGAAATCGCAATGTTGAATTACAATAGTGTACTCAGGTCTTTCATATCAAGAACAATTTTCATATTTTTCGTTGTTACACTTTCTCTTCAACTAAAATATTTTCAGCTAGAGAAAACTGTTCAAATGAATAACTATAACAATGAAATATTGACTAAATTATAAAGAATCTTTATGACTAAAACAAGAAACTGTGTAAAGATGAACAGTATTCCTCTCTGACTGCAGTGTAATGGAGAAAACCTGCTGCTTCTGAGCACGGATCCAGTGACAAGGAGAAATGTCAGCATACTGATGAAATAAACACGTCTGATCCTCATGAAGATGGAGGAGAGGAATCAGAATGCAGAATATATCTCTATGCCATTGTGAATTTAGTTGCAAAAAAAGTGCTGTACACACATAAAAGAATAAAAATATAAATGATACAAGCAGTCAACAACATAAAAGAAAACAATAAGACACCATAAAGACTGTAAAAGAAAGCAGCTCTCACATAGCGTCAAATGCCAGGCTATAAAAATAAGTTTTTAGGCTAGATTTAAAAACAGCAAGTGTTTGAGCCTGTCTAATGTAATAGGGGCGCTAAAGAGCAAGTATCTTTTCATTTCAAAGGCAGATAAATTTGCGTATTGTTTGCATAACATTGAAAAGAAATACCAAATTTCCTAAAAATATGTCGTAAGGGGAGCATATACAGGGAGAACAGAATAGGCCCCAAAATGGAGCCCTGGGGGACCCCACACGTGAAAGAAGCAGTTGAGGAGACAAAGTCTCCAAAATGAACTGAGAAAGTTAAATTCACGGGTGTCATTCCCTCTGCTTCTTACAGGAGTCCTCCATCAAACGGCAGCTAAGGACCCTTGAAGCAGCTAATCACGTGGGCGTTGCTATAGTTTCCAGTGCCGTCACTACGGTGATTTCAACCATTCCGCTCTTTTTTTGTGTCATCGTGCCTTTTGCCAAGTTCGGTCAGATTGTGGCCATCAACACGGCCATTTCCATCGCCTTCACGCTCACCGTCACGACCGCACTGCTGGCCACAATGGGACCCAGCGACTTCACCCGTCCTCCCAGAGCCGTTCTCAAAGCCACTCTGGTGGTCCTGATCGTGGGGGTCTGTGGAGGTCTGCTGTGGTGGACTGGGTCACAGTTCGCTCCGGACACACTGGTCTGAATCACACATCCTTCACCGGCCGAGGAACCAGGTGGATTTCAAGTGAGAAACTGTGATTAATTTTGACGTTAAGATGACATGTGTGAACTCTTTGGGAAGCAGGTTTGGGAAAATGAAGTATTTGACACATGTGGCACACTGTTAGAAATTAGGAAACCCAGTATGTGAGTAGTTAACAGTGCATGAAGGTAGCGAGTCCTGACAGACGTGGAAAATGATGTCAGACACACTTATGTGAATAACTGTATTTGTTATCAAGAATCGCTGTGTCAGGGACTTGCGTTTAAATGTTATTGTTTGACTAAAAGAGCCGACTATTCCTCAGTGTTTTGTATTTTATTCACAACTGAAGTAGGGGACATGAGAACGTGTCTTATTTTGGTTCAAGTGTGACACGGCCCTGAAGTCTCAGAAGAGAAGAACATGAATTCTGTGAATTCATCTTGTGTGAGGCGGCAGGACAACACCGAAGGAGAAAGAAAGTGTAAGATGAAGCTACTTACTCATTGTCCTTGATGGTAAAGTTTGTTGAACCCCAAATCTAGAAGTCAACATGTCAGCAATGACATGATGGTTCACCCTAAACAAGACCATCACTGTTGCTTAAGTAGACTGTACAACAAATTTAAGATTATAAGAGATAATGCTCCATTATGAATAAGATCCAATTCACCAAAATGTCAAATATTTACATATTGCCATGTCATTTTATCCATCAGGATTTGATTGGTTGGTAAAAACTCAGGTTCACCCTCCAGATTATTTGAATGCATCACCTTCTCAGATTTTTAAAAAGCTGTGTTAGCTACAACAGTATAACAATACTGAATTGCAAACTGGCTATTGTTTAACATTAACCAGCAGTCCACACAACCTTGGTTACAGATGAAAAGTAAGAGACAGGAAATAGTGTTATCAATTACATTGTTTTACTTAATAATTAATAAAACTGAAATAAAAATATTAAATGATAAAACGTAAAAGGTTTCCGGGCAACTAACTGAAAATGTGAAAGTACTAAAAAACTGAAATAAAAAAGAATTTAAAGCTAAATAAAAAAAGAAACGAATAAAACGGACAAAAGTGCATATCAAAATGATTAAAATGTTAACTAAATATAAAAACTTAAAGTATAAAAATAAAATATCATTCAAAATATTAATAAATACTACAATAGTGTATATAATATTATATTAATACTATAAAATTAACAATACTAAAATAACACGAAGGATTTTATATATATATATATATTTTTTTTTTCCAATTTGATCTCATGAGACAACTATTTTACATTTTGGTGAATTGGTGTTGAGTTTGATTTGTACGAAAATGTACAATATTTAGAAAAAAAACCCATGAAGGTCCACCCCTAACCTAACCTTCAGAGGAACGCAAGCAAATCATATGAAAACATAAGTATGAGCAAATTCTAGAAATGTGTTAAAACGTAAAATAATTACAAATTGCCATGAGAATGTGTTGTTCTTTGTAATGCTCAATTACAATGCTCAATAAGACCAGAAACTAGAAAAATGGGATCTATTTCTGATTTCATGTTGACTTTAAGCAACACAACGTCCGACATTTTTCTACATTAATGTAAGAGGTTACTGTGCATTGTTTTGTTTTAGTCTAAAACCAATGAAGAGGGTTGCAGTACTGATCATACCACTTAGGGCACTTAATTATATTTCAAAGTAAACATAGTAAAAAGAGATGCATTTTTTATTTTTTTTTGCCTGTGAAATGTTAAGGTTATTGTCTGGACTTTTATATATATATATAAAAAAAAAAAAGAAGTGTAAAACCATGGTGAATTTCATGCTGGCTTTTCTAAGATTCTAACGACACAAACGCTGAGTTCTGCAGAGTATTGTTGTGTGATGTGGCTTGTTCAAATTCCCAGTGAAACCACTGTTTACATTCGTGTTTCTGCACACCAAACGGATCCACTTAACCCGACGTGTCTTTATCTTTTTTTTAACTGGTGCCAATTATCTGTCTTTCAAATCATATACACACAAAAAGTTACAAGGATCACAGGCGACCTTCATTCGACTTGATCGTTTTGACCCTTTAACCAGCTGTCTGGAAATATTAAAGCACTTCAGCAGCAATCCACTTTCAGCCACAGAAACTCGCTGTCCTCCTAAAAGCTCTCCGCTGCACTCCAATGCCCTCTGCATGCAGGAATTCAGCTCACCTTCACAGCTCTAGCTGGTTTTCTCTGATATTCATGTTGACTGACTGGAAATATTTTAGAGAAATATTCACACATTAAGTGTCACACAGAATACATGCTGCCATCAATGGGTGAATCTTACAGAGAAATGTACAGGTCTTATTTCACCTCCAAAATAAATATTTTTTAGGTTTTTCAATTCCATATAAAAATAATAACAAAAATGTATTACATTTTACTACAATATGGTGACAAATGTACAAAAATGAATTTGTAGTTAATATGCAACATTAATATGTACACATTGTATAGGCCACTGACAATTGATGAGTTGTTGGTTAAATGTGCTTTATTGTCTTTATGCAAAACATATCTAATTTTGGGATTAAATATGTCCCTGGCATTTCTTGACAGTTTTGGCAAGATTCACCCCAAAATTGCTTATGATGGAGCTAACATGATTATCTATGGTTAATATCATAGGTAAAATATCATATTCACATTACAACAACCAAATCAAAAATGCAAAGATTTATACTTCAGTTTATAATCAACAATCATCATAATAGTTTTCCACTACATTTGAACTATTTACTGTGCACATTATCATTGGTAAGAGTTTTCTAAGCAACTTAAAACTTATTAAAACACTTACTTGACTTTATTTAGCTCTTCCCATCAATTCTGCTTAATATTTAATGTTGGAAACGGTAGCTAGGCATTAATAATGCACTGCGGTGACCATGCATAATTGATGATCTGTTATATAGCCAATTCAATACTGATATATGGTTTATTTAGAAATCCACAGTCATCAAGATGTGAGCTCAAGACCTTGAAACCGTCAGAAAAACAATGGAATGCCTTTAAAACATGTAGGACTTTTCATAATAGTTGGAAAAACACCAGTTATATCAGAAAAAAATCATTGAAAGTGCTAACTACTGTAACTGAATTGGTATATTTGGGCTTTAATTCAATTAATTAAATGGTCAGTCCATAATTCCTGAGTCTACGAGACAAAATGTGACATGAAGCATTTCAAAATGAAAATAACATTTTATGAAATAGATGCACTTGTTAACACTGTGCAATACATAGGTGAAAATTAGCTATACAATATAAATAAATTGCATCTTTTGTCTGCAATTACACATAGCCTTAGTTCTTATCAAGTTATCTATGGTTTAGTGTACTTTGAATACATTAATACATATTTACATACATACATATGATAAAATGCATAAACATGTACCAAGTCTTATGTGGGAAGGCCGGTCAGGGTGAATAAATCAAGCTTACACTATTATGCTGAGGTAACATTTCAGAAATGTGCTAAAACAGATCATTTGAATCCCACATTTGCCCACAAAACACTATTTCTAACAAGAAATAACCTGGGCATTAAACACATTAATGGGTTTAGTGTACTTTGAATACATTAATACATATTTACATACATACATATGATAAAATGCATAAACATGTACTAAGTCTTATGTGGGAAGGCCGGTCAGGGTGAATAAATCAAGCTTACACTATTATGCTGAGGTAACATTTCAGAAATGTGCTAAAACAGATAATTTGAATCCCACATTTGCCCACAAAACACTATTTCTAACAAGAAATAACCTGGGCATTAAACACATTAATAATGCTTAGGAGGATGTGCTTCGATTAGCAAAATGTACAAGTGCTCCGCTACTCTAAAAAGCTATGCTAGGAAGCATATTCAAATACAGAGATGCTAAATTGGGTATAGAAGTTCTCTTAGACACACAAAATAAAATCCATTTGAAGAACTAGGATAGAAGTTAGTTGATCTTGAGCATGAGGGTAAGCTTGCAAGGATGTATATCGAGCAACTTGTTTGGTCACAGCACACGTGGCTTGGAGGTTCAGATGGAAGGCATTGCAGAAACGTCTAAAACCCTTTAAAACCCCAAAATGTGTCCTCTTAAAACCATAATCCTCATCATTTGCCTTCCTGGATTTCACACATCCGAGTCAAACCGTAACCAAGTCCTGCAACAACTAAAATCTAGTGTCTTGAAATGATTCAGTGGGTAACAACAATCAGATATCCTGAACCTGAGATTTAAAAGAGCTTTAGGTAAATCCACAAAGGCAAACAGGTGTGAAATGATGAAAAGAGCGGTTGAAACAGAGGAGACAGAGTCAACAGCCTTTGAAGGAGTTCTGCAGGAGACAGAAAGAGAGAGAGGTAGGGAGCAGCAATGCAGGCTGCATACTTCACAGGGATGATCCTGGAAATGGAGTGCGCTAACACTTCAAATCAAATGATCAATCCTGGGGATCACATTATTCAGCACTATTCCACACAGATTTGACATCAAACATCCTCTTTTCCCAACTGACATTGCATATCAATGGAGAAACAGCGATTTCAAGTGACCGTAATGACTGGGGCGCAGGGCTCATTTGAAATAGCACCATCCCAACACTTTCCCACACGGTGAGGTACGTTATTGGTACAAATGAACATTTTACACAGTTTTAACAGTTTCCCCATAGTCAGCGGTGCAAGAGCAACATCTACCTAGCAATAGGCCATCTGAGGACTGCTAAAAGAGACAATCCTTTTAGGTTTTAACTCAAAATTGTATTGGGTGCAGAGACAACGGACCTTAGTCAGAGTAGACACCGTACGTAATCTGACCTGAATGAAAACGAGACACTATAGTTTGTTCAATAGGTTTCAGGTCTTGAAGAGATAATTCCCCCAAAACTGAAAATTCTGGCATCATTTACTCACTCTCATGTTATTCCAAACCTTTCTTTCTTTTGCACACACAAAAGACATTTTGAAGAATGTTTCAGGGTTTTTTGGGGGGGTCCATAGAACAAAAGTCAATGGATTCCAAAATTATGTTGTTTTGGACCCCAGTGACTTTCACTGTATGGACAAAAATGTTCTTCCAAATGGCTTATTTTGTGTTTCGCAGAAGAAATTAAGTCACTTACTCAAATTTGGAGTAAATGATGACAGAATCTTTGGCTGAACTACATCTTTAAGTTCATAAGGTCATGTCTAATTTTAAATTTTTTATGATGTCTACCCTGACTAAGGTCCATACACACAGCTATCATACTATGACGCATACTATGATTTTGAAAACAACAGTTGGTCATGTACTGTGAGGAAAGAGCCTGAAAAAGAGGGAAAAGAAGATAAAAGAAAACAGCGGTGGGATGCAAGGACACAAGAGGACCCAGCAATTTTCATGCGATTGTGCCTAATTTGTTCATGATTGGCGAAGCACAGAGTGAATGCTACAAGGACAGCAGCAAATTACCAGGACCTTGAAAGAGTGTGTGCTTAAACTAACGAAAACTAAATATTTTCCACCATACCATCCTGTTTTTATGCAAAAGCAATTAACAGCCATCAGACATGGGCCACGTTTTGTTTATTAGTCTTTTAATATGATAACTGACTCTGAAAAACCTCCTCGAGAGAGTGATAATTTCGGGCAGGGAACCGTCTGGACTACTGGCCAGGAAAAAATGAGTTATTACAAATGCTGGTGCCATTACGTTCACATTTCCTTCTAGCTGTACCACATGCATCTCTTTGACATACAGTGTAATTTGCTCAAGTAACGACAAAGAAACTGGCCCACAATGGCCAAGGAGACTCTTTATGAACAAGCAATGCCAATAATGTCAAGAAGAGATGGTTGTTTCCCCACAGTGTAGCGGTAAATCTCACGTTTCAAGGTTGAAAACATGTGAGGAACACCGTCCTGAATACCCCTGCTTCACTCATTTCTCACTTCCTCTATCCCACTCTTGCACAGATGACTGGTTTGGTGAGTTTGGTTGACTGCTCTGGTCCTCCTGCAGGAGTTCCTTAGTGTATTTGTGTTTTTCAACACACCCGGCTCATGAAAGGTGAAAAAAGGAGGGGGGTTCCAGTATCCGATCAACTACGCCCACCCTTGATTTCGCCCCTATATTGGTATCCAGCTACTGAATACATTCCCCCCCTCCCCATCTTGCCCAGAACGTAATAATTAAAAAAAGGTAAAAACAAGGTCTACTGCAGAATGGCTTTACTCCTCACAGTCAGTAGGGGATGCCAGAACCCCTGTGAACTATTGAGGTGCGGTTGGCATTCTTGCGGCTGGTCCGTCGCGTCTGTGTGTTCTTGGCGGCCGGGGGGCTCCGAGCGATGGGCGAGGCCCTCCCCCTGGGGCCCTTTCGCTTCCCCCTAGGCCCTGCACGGCCCCTCCCGGCCACTAGGGGTCACTTCTTACGGGAGTGGAGTGTGTCCTGAAACTTGGTGCTGGTGTAACGCACGTGGAAGCCCTTCTTATTGATGGTGTCGTCTGAGCGGAATTTGATGACAATGGAGTCACCGGCGGAGTAGATCTCTTCTGGAGGCTGAAAACACAAAGATGGAAGCAGACGTGAGCTTGTGAGCACATTGGATGGAACTAATTCCCTTTTATTACATCAAACTAACCTCATCAATCCTAATGATTGAAATTTTAGTGCAGTGGTTCCCAATCCTGGAGAAACCCAACACTGTACATCTTTGGTGTCTCTCTTATCTGACACATACATCTGAGGTCTTGGAGTCTTCATTAATGAGCTGATGAGTTGAATCAGGTGTGTTTGAATAGGGAGACATCTAAAATGTGCAGTGTTGAGGGTTCTCTAGGACCAGGATTGGGACCCACTGTTTTTGTGCACTTCAGTGTCTAGATCAGGGGTGTCCAAACCTGTTCCTTGAGGTCCCTGCAGAGTTTAGCTCCAACCCTAATTAAACACACCTGAACCAGCTAATCAAGGTTTTCAGACTCACTAAAACTTCCAGGCAAGTGTGTTGGAGCTGGGTGGAGCTAAAATCTGTAGGATGGTGGCCCTCCAGGAGCCTGTAGAGTAAGTCGACACGGAGTTAACAGGAGTCCGAAAGACCACAAGCCGGAACTCGAACTCGGCCATCATCATTGTTTTCATTTTGTCATGCATTTCCTAGCTATGAGGTGCATGTTTCTGCATGATTTTGCTTTCAGAATGACTTGAAAAGTCTGATCCACTGTCGTTTAGTGTATAATGCCCAGTTTTTTTCTGCAACCATTTCAGTCAGCAAGGGTATCATATCTACGCTGCATGGGGTAAATCTGATGGGATAAATTGCCTCCGAAGGACACTTCGGAGCGTGAACAATCATGCCCACCATAAATGAAGGGTTTCTCCAAACTGAAGTGCTCAAAACTGGTCACTTCAAAGGTCCCTTGAGAAAGAAGTATTTCGAAAGGTACAACTAATGGACTCTGCACTCCCATTATTACCCATTTACGCAGGTTAACTGTTAACAATAGCACCTCATTAATTGACTTTTCAAGACAACGCAGAAGTGTGTTCCGAAGAACAGCTTTTTGGTCCCCTACACCCCTCAAAGCTCCTACTCTAGAGGGTAGACCCTACGCAGGGATTAAGGCATCGGGATGAACCCTTCAGAATGGAAAGCAGCGCTAGTGAATTTAAAAGTCGTGCATTCCAGACTTAACTATTGTCTTTCACCTTACAGTTCTAAAGTGCTACCAACATAGTCAACACAATGTGACATAGTTGCACTCTCCACACGAAAACTATACCTAAAATCAGGCATGGAAATTATGCTTCTATATATAATACCTTGTTTTGGCTGAAATTGTTCTACCAAAATATATATTTTAATATAATTAAATACAGCAAAACATATAAAGCAATTGTTTATCGAGTACTGAAAAGTAATAACAGTAGTTCCATGTAATTAAAATGAACTAATTCATCCAATATTTGTGCTGACGAGAATAGAGTCATTAGCTTAGCAACATGCTAACATTAGAATGTTTTTGGAACGGTGAGTTCTAGTTTAATTATTTTTTTGGTGAGGATGTTTTATTAAGGCCAAAGTACACCTCAGTTTTGATGTGAATGCTTAGTGTATAGGTGCACTGGAACACATAATCATTATGTACTCCATTTGACAGCATGCGCAAACACAGGCGCTTGACATGCTCACTGGAAAGTTTCCAGGGTCTGCGCTATTTCTCTCCTGAAGTTCTGACCAATAAAAGTATCTTTGTACTCATTTAAACTAGAGTTCAGTCTAATGCATTTCTTTTTTGACTATGAAACAGGGGCTGGGTAAGTGTCGCCACCCAGTATCTCTGTACTATGTTGATGCTAAAATTTACATTGCGCATACTGTAAGCATACTCTAGTGTTTGTGTCAAAAACCAAGTATACATTGAGCTTTAGAAGGTAGCTGCCTATGTAGACAGTGAAAAGTACCTATAGGGCTTCCTCGAAGGTCTGGAAGATGAGCTCCACGCCGTAGCCCTTCTCTGCTGTGATCACCCACTGACAGTCGGACGCCCCGGGGTAGTTATTATCACCAAACTGGGCATGAGAGTAGAGGTCTTTAGTTTTCACCTCCGCTTTCATACGGCCTCCGCACTCTGGAGAAGAGAAGAAAATGAACACCGGTGCATTCAGCATCTCAGCATATCACTGAAAGTCAATAGTCTCTTGTAGCCAGAAGTGTGACTGAGACTAGCACTCAATGATATAAACATCAGAGAGTTGCTGTATCTTACTTTTTTTTTGGCAATATGGTGCTAAAAATATATGCTATACATTTGGGATTCTCAAACTTTTATGTCAGCTGAACCCCTCATTGTAATTGTCATTATTTATTGAACTTTGGTGTCATATTTAAAAAGCAATAAGCCATTTGAACCATGTGCATCAGGGATTTTACCATGGCCTGTTGTTAACGACACAAAGTGGAGCACTGCATGGTCTCTTATAGCTTATTGTTTTATAAGGTTGTATTATATGAGACTACATGTAATTCCACTATTTAGTGGTACTGTATATTTCATTCAGATGGATGTACTCACCTGCAGTGTGGGAAGCCTCAAAGCCTTTCTTCTGCACTGAGTTATCAGAGAAGAAGCGGATGAACATCTTGTTACCGGTGGATATGATCGGTTGAGGTTTCTTGGCGCCGCAGTAGCGTCCGAGGCTTTGTGCTTTCCCATCCCGACCGTCGTAAATCTCAATGTGGTCATAAGCACATTCCAGATGAGGCTCCATGTCGATTTCATTGAAAGCCTGAAATATACAGTTGAACAAAGTTTGAACGGCAGACACTCAATATACCATTACAATGAATGGTAGTGAGCTGCTTCGCTGTCTATATAGACAGCTATCTTCTAAGTGGCCGTTCACAAAGAATGTGTTTTTGGGTTTAACCCTTAAAATGCATACCTCGGGTCTTTAGCGACCCGGGACATCATTCTCTACCCTCTCCCTCCTTAATTTTTAAAGTTAGACATCAATTTTCTTAGTATTCCTCAATCTATTCATTATAAACAATATAACAAGAAAAAAAATTGTAAAATATAAAAGAATGCCTTTTTTCTGATTCAATTTTTGTAAAAAAAAAAAGTGTATAGGGTCGCTACAGACCCCAGGTATGTAAATGTGTACGTTTTTTTTCCTGCTACTATATTTGCATATTTGATGACTCAATTTGTGCAATGCATCTTTTTTCCTCGAGGTGGCACTCTTTGATACACAATGATGACGTGATGTTTGACTCATAATTACCGCAGGCATAAAACAAACAAATATCATCAGCAAAAACTGAAGTGGTTTGAATGGCTTTACTGCAGAGCAATTACTATACGCAATGAAATATAAATGTCACTGTCATTTGATGCTGGATGTGGTGAATAAGCTGCCAGTGGTCAAAATATTGAATATGAAGTCATTGAAAACGATATTTTGAGAATATGGTTGAGATCGTGAATGTGAGGCAGATGCTGAATGTACTGTGGGTGTGAGCTCTGACGGTGACAGCGATGGTAAAAATCATCAAAAGGAAACTAAATATGCTTTATTTTATTCTTCTGTAATTGTTCTTAAAATATCAAGATCATTTTTTTGCTATTGCAGCAGTTAGAGGTCCATCCGTGCTGGATATATAGGTCCGGGTCGCTAAAGACCCAAATATGTAATAATGATTGGCATACATTCATGCATTTAAGGGTTAAAAACATGAGAACGTGTCATCTAGAGTTACATTTAAAATTTGAAATTATGTGTTTTTAGGATGGTGTATCATGCATGAGATGATGCATCAAACACGTCCATTTAGTGCATGTTCAGATAGAAAAACAATGGAAAAGCAGCAAAGTGGAAGGCAAAAATGCGTGGAGTGAACGACCCCTAAAGGGCCGTTCACACAGAACTTGTTTTAGCATTTTATTTACTCACCCTTAACTTGTTCCAAACCTGTATATTTTTTTCTTCTGTTGAGCACAAAAAAAGATATTTTGAAGAATGTTGGTAAGCAAACCAAACAGTGGACGGTATCCATTGACTTCCACATTATGGAAAAAATACTGTGGAAGTCAATGGCTACCGTCAACTGTTTGCTTACCAATATTCTTTAAAATATCTTCTTTTGTGCTCAACAGAACAAATACATCATACAGGTTTGGAACGACTTGAGAAGAGTAAATGATGACAGAATTTTCATTTTGGGTGAACTATCCCTTTAAATTCTGCCTACGTAGGCAGCACACTAGGTTTTGGAACAGAGCAATAGTGCTATCAGTACTTAGTCGTTATCTAGTCTGTATGTTGAGGAAGACACAGGATATTAAACAATATTTGTGCACAAACATGCACACGATTTTTCATTCATTGCTCCCAGGGATACTTGGACCTGATTGGTCAATCGCAGCATTCTGCAGTCAAATGTTCTTGTATAATTATGCTATGTTGTATAAATGTGCCAAACAACCCAATTTGCTACATAGCTGTGCTAGTTTCATGCCTCATCACAGACTTTTTCTTCTTAAAATAAAATAATTTAAAATTACATAATTTCATTTAGTTATTTGTTAATAGCCATGTAATAAGTGAATAATGTGTCAGCTGGTCTTTATCGCAAAATAAACTGTTTCAGGTTGATGCAAGGTCCTCCTGCTTCACTCTGGGGTCAAGCTCACTCTGCAGGGTTTTGTTTTGAAAGAATGACCGTCTGGGCTGTACATTACCCAACTATGGTAAATAAGGATGGAGAGAGGTTGTACTATTACATACTATTTTGATCCGATGTCCCGGGGTGGTGGAGAGGGCCCAGGTGCAGGCCTTCTTACTGGGGTATTTATCTGGCCAGTTGGGGCTGGTGATGGTCCCGCTCACGCTGTTCACAACGTGATCACAGCCGGCTGTAAGAGATACCGATTACACGTGACATCCAACACTCAAATACACACACAAACAACCACATCCTCTCGCTCATCAAATGAGCAACGTTCAAACTCCAGACAACGAGAATCAGTGTTGTTTTTGGCGCACAGATCCATGCATTTCCGAACCTCCTCAGACAACTTTTTTCTTTCTTTTCTCCCAAGCACTGCCACTCTCTTTCTATTCCTGCCCGCAAATATATATTTATGGACACTCATGACCACACATTTATTATCTATTATAGTGCTTATTTTTTCTTTTTGAATCTTAATAGCTGTGATCACCCTGAATTATAATTTTATGGAAAAGAGCAGCATGAACAATCTTCATTATATCTCATTTTGTGTTTCACAGAAGAGAAATGGCATACAGGTTTAGAACAACATGAGGGTGGGAAAGTGCTTAAAATATGCATTTTTGGATGAACTATCCCTTTGGTAATGACATATTTCATCACTTTGACATTGGTATATTGTATCATATTGCTACCATTTTTGTTTTAAGAGCGTTTACATGGCCTATCATGACTTATTGCTAAAGGAACACTGTCTCGGTGTATATTCACATATACTGTAAGCATGTGTTTCTCACCTTCCTTGCAGTCATGTTTGTTCTCGTGCAGAACAAAGCCACTTCTGCACTGACAACTGTAGCTGCCAAAGGTGTTCACACATTCATGCTGACATCCGCCGTTCTCCTTAGAGCACTCGTCTTTATCTGTGAGAACAAAACACCAGATGTCAGTCAAACACACAGGATTTTTTATTTATTTATTGTCCCCTAGGATATATATATAAATAAGAATCATAGAACATAATTCTACTTTAATGAGATAAATTATAATAGCATTACACTTTTTATTGTGCTACTTTAATTAATTTTAAATGTTGAACATTTTGGGCCTGTCCTGATCCCAGGATGTTTGCCTTCTCTAATAACTAAAAATAAATTATAAAACAAGAAAACTCTACTTTTCACTTTTTCATTACAACTTCTAAACAAATTTTTTAATTCATTTAGTATGTGTAATTTGTACAATTAAAATTTTAAAAAGCACTGTTAAGGACAGATTTCGTTTTTTTGTTATATATACAATGTAGAAATGTATTTTTCGAAGTTGTAAATCAGACAAAGATTATTGAAGTACTTTTTACAAGAAAATACTATTTCAGATTTTCTACTTCAAATTTTCGTTGTAATTATATATTCTATATATTATATACATACTCCTTTTTATTTGCACATTATATTTGTAATTAATCTCAAAATTAACTGAGTGCTAGTTAATGTATTATGTTAACAGGTTGAAGATTATCCAAGTTTTTATCCAAAAAAGTGAAAAATCATGTAATTTCCATCACATAATATCAAAAATACCAAAATGCACTTTTAATAAAAGCTACGATCAGATATTTTTTCCAGGACGTGCTATATATATATAATATAATACATAAACATTTTGGTTGACATTTTATTTTGACATTGTTGACATTTCACAGCACACACTCACCTGAGAAGAACTGGGCCTTGAAGCCTTTTTTAGAGACGGTGTTGTCAGATTTAAACTCAATGCGCATGTTGTTGTACTGAGAGGTGATGGCCTCTGGTTTCTCAGCTCCGCAGAATTTCCCGTGCAGTCTGGAGTCGGCAGACAGACCGCTCCTCACCTCAACAAAGTCATACTTACACACCTGCACAGCAGAGAGCAAATCTAAATCACGGGTCAACATCTACAGAGAACTTTCAACCTGGTCAACAGCATCTTTCTTCTCCCAAAACACAGCATATGATGCTCTTTTCAGCAAGGATATATAATAGTGACATTACTTGTATTGTTTTCCATTTTGCATGTATTATTATTCACTTTTGATAAAATTGTCTGCTAAATGTAAATGACTGAAAAGACTGTCTCGTTTGTTTTGATGAGAAACTGGATGGATCCTTCATTTAAGTGGCACAAAATGCTCCAAATACTCTACTGATAATCGCAGCTTTTCATTTTGATCTCAACACATGAGCGCTTGGCAACTTTTGCCAATAATAGTTCACAAGCTGTACACTAGTTATCTGGAACAAATGTTGTTTTTGGCAATCAATAAAGCTGAGGCCATTCTCACCTCCCTCTATTAAACCAGTGCCAGTACGCTTAAGGAATGTTTCAGGTTCAATATGAGTTAAGCTCTACTGACAGCATTAACACAGACAATATCGACAAAACAAACACAGATCATATTCACAGTAATGCGCTTACAATGGAAGTCTATGGGGCAAGACATTCAAGAGGGCTTAAGAGCAGGAATGGTCGGCTTAAAGTTTAAAAGAAGCACTTGTATTCATTCTTACATACAAAATGTGTTTTTTAAGCATGTAAATCATGCTTTTAATGGAGGGGCAACTACTGTAAGTGGATGAATATTTGGTTAAACGTTACCGACGTATCTCCTGCGGATGGAGTTTGCTCCATGTACTTTTGCATGTATTATTATTCACTTTTGATAAAACTGTCTGCTAAATGTAAACGATTGAATCAAAAATATAGAGGGAAAAGACTCTCTCATTTGTTTTGATGAGAAACTGGATGGATCCTTTATTTAAGTGGCACAAAATGCTCCAAATACTCTACTGATAATCGCAGCTTTTAATTTTGATCTCAACACATGAGCGCTTGGCAACTTTTGCCAATAATAGTTCACAAGCTGTACACTAGTTATCTGGAACAAATGTTGTTTTTGGCAATCAATAAAGCTGAGGTCATTCTCACCTCCCTCTATTAAACCAGTGCCAGTGCGCTTAAGGAATGTTTCAGGTTCAATACGAGTTAAGCTCTACTGACAGCATTAACACAGACAATATCGACAAAACAAACACAAATCATATTCACAGAAATGCGCTTACAATGGAAGTCTATGGGCCAAGACATTCAAGAGGGCTTAAGAGCAGGAATGGTCGGCTTAAAGTTTAAAAGAAGCACTTGTATTCATTCTTACATACAAAATGTGTTTTTTAAGCATGTAAATCATGCTTTTAATGGAGGGGCAACTACTGTAAGTGGATGAATATTTGGTTAAACGTTACCGACGTATCTCCTGCGGATGGAGTTTGCTCCATGTAAACAGTACTTTGCAGATAATGTTCGTTTCTGGTATCCTTTCACATATTGTGCAAAGGTTCTTTTTGTGCAGGTTCATGCCCTATAGACTTTCAATGGAAGTCCATTATTGTAAACCGATTCGTTTTTGTGGTCATAATTACTTTCTGTGGTAACTGGCAATATGGCACTGAACCCAAAACATTCCTAGCTTTAATTTATCCAGCAATTATATAGTACGCTATTAATGTGAAGCTATAAAATGCTCAGGAATACTTGCAGTTGCTTTAAACCCATTTTAGTGTGTTGTCTAATCTAGAGGACTAATAGCTATTTTAAAAAACCCGGCCTCAGCCAACAGCCTCATTTTATTCTCAAAATCCCTCTTCTTGTTTAGCACTAATGTAAAGGAGTTGCTGTTATATTAAAGCAATATAACCGGCTTCTATTAAAGTCTGTGTAATTTAATATAATGAAAGATGGCAACTCTTTAACAGAACAGTTTTGTTATAAACTACCTGAGTGTTTGTGATAAGCATGCATGAAGCCAAAAATCTACCCTTCATCTTAACAAACAAATCCTAAATGCATTCGTCATGTGAGCCTCACCGGGCAAAACTGCCGCAAGCTATCAACAATGAACAAGTGAGAAAACATGAAGGCAATTTGTAGAAGTCAGTCCCTAAAGCCTGTGGTGATTCACACCAATCGAGCTGAAATGAACCAGACAAACCCACCCCACGCTGAGGCAAAAACCTAGTGCTCACATCATTCCCCTCAGTCTCGAAGACGTCGAAGAGCAGCGTGATGCGGTACTGCGTGGGCGCCACCAGCTGCCAGATGCAGTTCTTGTTGGGTGGATACTCTTTGGGCCAGCCTGGACTGGTGATGGACCCATTCAGCTTGGTGATGAAACCACCACAGGCAGCTGGAGAAAAAGACAACAGAACAGAACTGTAAGACAAATTATACTAATGTATTCTGGAGAAATACTTCACACACAACATTTATTGAAATGATCTGATTCCCAAACCTTTTCAGTAACATATATAACATATATATATATATATGGTTATTTGTATGTATGTATGTACCAAGAGTTCCTGTAAAACCACAACAAATTCCTTGTGTTTGCGCACACTTAAGTGGTGAATACAGCTCATTCTGATTCTAATAAGAAAGCACCCCTACAACAACTTCTGAATTTACTCTTTGAATTCAATAAGCATTGATTCTTATTTAAGCTACAAAAGTTATTTAGGTAAGAGCAGTGAGTGATTTTCTGTCTTTTGTTCATGGCCCCAAATATCGCAAGCTGTAGCGATATGCATATTGCGATATGTACATTTGCGATATTTCGATAATTTCGATATATTGCACAGCCCTAGTTACCTATGTATCTTCTTTACCCATAAAGGGTGCATATTAGCACTTTAGAGTAGTGATATATACCCTTAAGTTAGTAATATGTCAGCTTATGATACTATTATACACCCTTTAGAGTTTAAAAAAAGTGTCCCTTTGAGGATACTGTCCCAGTGACAAGCAGTTGCACCCATAAAGGTATAATTTTGCCACTTTTTTTCTGAGAGTGTAAAAAATAAATGCAAAAATGTACAACACAGCCGCTTAAAAGAGGGTAACATATGGGAATTATTTTTTTTTTGTGTGAAAGTATGCTTACATATTTCATGCACAACACACCTAGGTTACATAGCGCTCTGAAACTCTCAATTTATCAAGCGGACAAGCTTGTGGTTTGTCAAAACCGGCGCATGCTACATATAAAATAACAAGAACGGTCCTGTTTTAATTAAAATACACAGGGAACAACCCCAGGCTCTGTATCTCATCAAACACGAGCAGAAAGATGGAGTAGTTTACTTTAGTCCGGTACGATCCAAATTACCGAACGGATCCCCTACAGCGATTTCCACCGAACACGTGCGCTCGGGGAGAGACGGCTACCAGCATGCCATTGAGAAGATTTTGGACAGCCCTTGCCTTGAAGTTTTAGCTTTGTGTACATTTAAACCCTATCCGTCTCTATTCCCACAGGGACATCGTGCAATAAACCCTCTGCATCGCCTGTTCTGTGAGAAAGAGCGGCACAGTCATTATGATAATGTCGGATTTATTGCTGATATGATGATAGCCACCGGGAAGCTGTGCTGGGCCAATCTTTCTTTTATCTAATGGAGAATCATTTTCTGATTACTCCAGTCTGTCATGATTGAGCCGTTGAGTCATCTCGGTGCATGTCTGAACAAACAGATTTTTGCTCAATATAGCAGCCGCAGGGTACGTGCTGTCCTAGCAGCTGCCTCACGTATCCAGACATTAACCGACGATATAATAAGAGATGTTAACTGTTAGGCAACATTTTACCTAAGAATGATTTGACCCTTAACCCGAACTGCATTTAAGTGCTTTGTTCGAGAAGAATATGATATAAACAGATTCAAACTTCAACAGAATTTCCAGCCGCTCAGAAAACAGAGCAGCGCTTTGTAAGTGTCGTGCGGAGGAGGGTAAAGAAAGCCAGGCGAGCCTGCTGTCAATGTGAGGAAGGTGCTCTTAACTTGCTGGCAGCCCCAAGCCAATAGCACAAAACAGATGTTGGCGGTATGTCAACAGCGCAAGCAGGAGTAGTAATTAAGAGGATGCAGTAGCACACACTGTCCACTAGAGGATGAGGTCAGTGCTGCTGGCTGCTCAAAACAAGCACTCAGTGATTCTTGCTTCAAGAAAAATTTCTTAAAGGGAAAGTGCAAATTTTATGTGTTAAAATACTTCTTTTATCTCAGATTACTAAGCCTTTTGTAGGTTGATTCCCTCAAAAAGTCTATTAAAACTATCAAATTATACTGTTTGTTTGAGACCCTGGCCAGCCCAGCAAACACGGTGTGAGTTCAGGGCGGGGCTATCTGTTTGTTTAACCAATAAGAAGATGAGGGGAGTGGGTAACACTTTACTTGAAGGGGTGTGCATAAGACTAACATGACACCTTCATAATCATGACATGACACATGTCATGAATATGAAGGAGGTTTTATGCATGTTTATGACAACTATCATTAAGTGTCATTCGCTCAGTTATGTCATTTTTAATGCAAATATGACATTATTTGACCTAACCCTAACCTAACCCTACCCCTACCCTTACCCCTAACCATAGCCCATAACAAAGACATCTCAAACAATGTCATCTTTGCATTAAAAATTACATAACTGAGCGAATGACACTTAATGACAGTTGTCATAAACATGCATAAAAAACCTTCATATTCATGATATGTGTCATGTCTTGATTATGTAGGTGTCATGTCATGATTATGAAGGTGTCATGTCAGTCTTATGCACACCCCTTCAAGTCATGTGTAACCGAGTGTTCCATAAAATTTTTTTTGAGTGATGAAATTAGTGGCACAGAAAGGTCCACTTCATCTTTATAAGTTTAAGGTAAACAAAAAATAACATAACATTACCTACATATGATACATTAGACCATTGATCAATAATGTAAAGAAAGATCAGTCAATCCTGTGTAATGTGACTTTTTGCTAAATTTGAAATTCAACAACACTATGAAAACGGACCTTGCTGTTAATTTTATAATTACAACAATTTTCATCAGGATTATGATTATTATGGTAATCTGCATGCAGCACATCTTGGCCTTTGAGATGATTAGCAAGTCTTCTGCAAGAACCGCTGTACAATCAGAAAACACAAAAGCCTGTCATCTACTTAAGAAAAAAAAAACATGTTCCTAAAAAAAAATTTAAGAACTTCTTAAGAATTTTTCAGGAATTGAGCTTTAGGGTGCTTTCACACCTGGCCTGTTGTTTCGGAACCTGTCGCGCTTCCCCCCTTAGCTCGGTTCGTTTGGGCATATGTGAACACGGCAATCACGCTCGGATCCGCGTTAAAACAATCGGTCCGAGATCGCCTGAACGAGGTGGTCTCGGCTCGATTGAAAACGAACTCTGGAGCGGTTCGGTTGTAGTGCGAAAGCAATCCGATCTAACGGACCAACGAACCAGGCTATATCACAATGTATAATGGGTAATTACGTAATGACGGATGACATGCGTGACAACTAATTGGAATCCCGGAAAATAAACCGTGGAACTTTGACCAATGAGAGAACAGTTTACTCGCGCTTGACTTGTATTAACAAATTTGGTTTAGAAACTTTACCGTGTGAATGCGAACCGCACCAAGAATAAAAAGCAACATTGTAATCATTTGAATCCCTGTTTCGGAACAATGCAATCGATCTACAGGTGTGAAAGCACCCTTAGTTTCTTAGAAACTCCTTTTAAGAAGATTTTTGTGAATTCTGCCGTGATCTTTAAAAACTTTAAAACTTTGCCCTAAAACTTATCACCACATACAGAGTTAGCGATATTTGTTTGTGTACTGTAAGACAAATTCATTTAAAAATGGAAAATGTGGTCATTTTCTGCCTGGACATGTCCGTTAAGTTTAAGGACATTTCCTTTAAGCCTAAAACATAACAAAATGCAATGCATAGTTTAAAATATGGGCAAAACACCTGTGAAAAATGATTACGGAAAATTACTGTGTATTAACCTTTATATTCCTTTATATTAGAATATTGGGCCCTATTTTGACAGACTTTTCTGAGCGTGTACAGCTGTCCCTCGATGCTACCATGCCACCATAAACAGTTTAAATATGGCATTAGCCTGAATCCAGCACTGAACTGTTCACATACTGACCCTCGCAACTCCGTTTGTCTGCCGCCAGTTCATACCCAGGGTCACAGGCGCACTTGTAACTACCGAGCGTGTTGACACAGCGCTGCTCACAGCGACCATTGTCAGGTCTGGAGCACTCGTCCATTTCTACAAACAATAAGAACATCAGAGCTTAATCATTTATGGTACCTTGAAGGAGCAATGCTAATATCTGAGGAGATATTTAGTGCTAATATTGTAGGATAAAGCAAAATAGTACACTTCACCTTTGAAGAAATTAGCAGCAAATCCAGCTTTGTTGACAGACCCATCAGACACAAATTTCATCCAGATCTGGTTGGAACTGGATTTAATATCGTCGGGTTTGTCATAGCCACAGAATCTGCCCAACAGTGGGCTGCTTTCTGAGTTCCCATCTCGAACCTCCAGGTAGTCGTACGCACAGTTATCATGCCTCTCAATCTTGGAATGAAAAGACGAAAGATAATGCAGAAAAAGGAAATGGAAAAACTAAATTTAAACCTGAAAGACCTGAAATGGATTTATTTTCTTTCAATGTAAGATATGCCGTTACCATTGAAAGCAAACAGCTGTGACTGTAACCAACCTTTTCATCAAGGTCTAGAAACAACTTAAAACAAAAAATCAAGTAGAAACAACGCTGAATGTTTTTCCCCTTTTCTTTTACAGATCTACAGCATCCCTTCTTTCCAAATACAAAGATCATGGGGAGTTTTGGGTTTATTTACACCAGCTGGTTAGAGACAATCTAAACCAAACCCAGAGCCAATGCAATGACACGACAAAATCAGAGTCAGCCAGACAAATGTCTCAAGCAACATTTAAAAAATGTAAAAAAAAACAGTTTATGTATACTCAGTTTAAATAATCAAAGAATGCTATAATGATATAATGGACTTCTTTTTACATTTTAGCAATCCTATTAAAATCAATGTTCATAAATGTCATTACATTTGATTTACATGCATGCTCTGAAGTACATTAACATGAACACACAATTTTATTCCCTTTTATTTCAAGTGAGCTGTTTTTCCAAATCAAACTGCACACATTATAATAATATAATGTATTCTTACACAAAGTAAAACGTAATGAATTTATAATTATTTATTTATTTAATTTTACTGTGCACAGTGTAACTAACTAGTAAAAAAATGTAGTAATAAAAATAATACATTTTGTTTTCATTATTGATTTTCAAGTTGCAGCCCAAGTCTCCAGGGTCATTTTTTATTTTTCAGTCCTATTCATGATTATTTCTAGATATACACTGTCTTTTCTTGTTTAGGACACACTCTAACATTATAACAGTGTGTTTAAGCAATTAATTACATGCTTATATTGCAGTAATAACAACTTTTTCAATCATACCTCAAAAGACTGGAAGGTAAGGCCTACATGGTAACCCTGAGCCACAGTGATCTTCCACATGCACACTTTGTTGGGTCTGTAGTCATCTGGGTAGTTCGGAGACTGAATTTGACCATTGTCTTTCTTCACCTCCCCACCGCAAATAGCTGCAAGATAAAAGATTACAACACAAACATGAGAATTACTTATTTCACAACAGAAACTGCTGGAAACAGATAATGTTAGTTGTTCACCTAATGTAAACTCTAAGTAATTCATAGGTCAGCTATGGTTGGATTTAGGTCTGTGGGGCAAAACACCCAATACGAATGAATTTGACAATGTTTTCTGTTGACGTTATTTTGAGCACTCTGGCTTTGCCTTAGACTGCAGCCATGAAATTGCTGCTTGTTTTGGGCTAATCTTGCTCACTACCACTTGCAGCTCTATCGACGTAAGAAATGCAAGGCCAAAGCTGCCTTTGCAAATTATTAAATATATGAATGCTAACCTAAAATGTCAATGGTATGGGCTAAAGGCACAATTTTTTGACATTGTATGTAAACACTTATAGACACTATAGTAGTCTATATAGTACTATAGTGCTTCTTTAAAATTTATTCAATGTCCACTAGCACATATTTTATAACATTTGATAGTTGTTGATTTGATTGATTGCTGGTACCTTCATAAACAGCAGAGAAGCCCTTTCCCACCCAGTTGCTGCTGCTGCGAAACTCAATCCACAGGCGACTGTCTGTAGAGATGATCGGCTCCGGTAATTTATCCCCACAAAATCGACCTGCATACAGAGGTACAAGCAAATAATTCAACATTAATTAACAAGCTTCACCTTGACTTGTTCATATTGTTCTTCTGAAATGTCAGGTGTTCATCTCAAACCTTTCAGTGGTGCTTTCCTCCAATATCCATCTCTGATCTCCACATGATCATACCAGCACAAATGACTCCGGTATAAATCCATAGATGTAAAGTTCAGAATGATCTTAGGGAAGAAAATGTAGTAAAGTGTTAATGGAGGAAAGTTGGAATCTGTGAAAGTCTTAATAACTGTGCAAATGCAATGATTCCAAGCAGCATTTCAATTTTGAAATCCATATTTAGACAATCTACTTGGTGATTCAAACTCTGAGGAAATAGTTATGTCAGATTCATTAAGAAGTCTTTTTTAATCTATTCCTTTTTTCCAGTTCAATCAAACCATTTTGCAGAGTATAAATTACTCCACTGTAATCAGGATGTTTGTTTTAGAGTAAAACTATATAGTGAGAGTCATAAATAAGCCATACATAACCATATTCGACAGAATATTTTCTTCAATCAAGCCTTTAAAATTGTATTACACTGTATATATATTTATTTTGAAGTTGTAATTTAAGTAAAACAGACTATTGGAGCATTTTTTACAAGAAAATACATTGTAAATACAAATTTCAGTCTTTCTACGTCAAAATTTCACATTTAATTTAACATGTTATTTGAAGTTTGGGAAAAGTTGCTTTTAAAAGTAAAGCAACTACAATATTGCCTTGCTCCATAAAAAAAAGTAACTAATTGTGTTCGTTACGGTTCATGGAAAGTAATGCATTATAATATTGCGTTATTCTGTAAAAAAAAAGTAACCAGCTGTGTTACTTAGTTACTCTTCATGGAAAGAAATGCATTACAGTATTGTGTTACTCCTTAAAAAAGTAATTCGCTGTGTTATTTAGTTACTCTTTATGGAAAGTAATGTGTTACGATATTGTGTTATTTAGTCTTCATGGAAAGTAATGCATTACAATATTACCTTACTCCATAAAAAAGTAACTAATTGTGTTATTTACTCTTCGTGGAAAGTAATGCATTACAATATTGCGTTACTCCATAAAAAAGTAACCAGCTGTGTTACTTAGTTACTCTTCATGGAAAGTAATGCGTTATAAGATTGCGTTGCTCCATAAAAAAGTAATTAGCTGTGTTATTTAGTTACTCTTTATGGAAAGTAATGTTACAACATTGCGTTACTCTGAAAAAAAGTAACCAGCTCGGTTATTTAGCTACTCTTCATGGAAAGTAATGTGTTACAATATTGTGTTACTCTGTAAAAAAAAAAAAAAAAGTAACCAGCTATGTTGCTTAGTTATTTTTCATGGAAAGTAATGCGTTACAATATTGTGTTACTCCATAAAAAGTAACCAGTTGTGTTACTTAGTTACTCTTCATGGAAAGTAATGTGTTACAATATTGCGTTATTCCGTAAAAAAAAAAACAGCTGTGTTACTTAGTTACTCTTTATGGAAATAAATGCTATAATATTGCGTTATATTAATTTTGCATTACTGGGTTTGCTTATTTGTTTTTTAATGACAAAAAAATTTCACACTTCTCTCAACACAGGGACAGGTCAGTAAATAAATGGGAAAACAAAGTAACTTGTGTTATGTATTGGAAAAAGTAACTCAGATATTTCACTGAAAATTTTACTAGTTTTTACTAAAATTGTACTAAATTTTACTAAAAACTTTACTACAGTAGTTAATTGAAAAAGTAATCAGATTATGTAACTCACGTTACTTTTAATGGTTTACCCCCAACACTGGTTATTTACCATTTCTTTGTTATTAATTGTGAAATTTCTAGCAATTTCGGAGAAAAAATTGTTTCAACAGCACTTTTTTTCACTGTAATCTGAAACAGTGAAATGTGGTAATGTATGTGAAAAAATAGTTGAAAATTTGTTTGTGGGAATCTCTGGAAACATTTTTCAGTAATGACTCAAAGAATCAGTGAATCAGTTTTTTAAACTGGTTCATCGAAAAGAACTGGACAAACTGAGTGAACAAAATGAACTGGACTTCCCAACTCTATGTGGGAACAATATCACAATTTACTCAATTCCATAAACATTCTATAGGCCTAAAATTGTCTCTCACAACAGCTAATCAGAGCGATTCATTAGAGCTTCTGTTGTCTTCACCTTCTCTCCAGGTGTGACTGAAATTCTCCATATGCAGTGCATATATGCTGAATAACCATTCGGAAAACCAGGAGAAGAGAAGTTCCCACTGCTCTCCTGTAAACTGTCTCCACATCCTAAGAAAGACAGACAGAAAGAAAGGTCATGAGCTGTCGGTATTCAAGAGGAGTTAAAAAGTGAACAGTTCATTACATAAACAAGATGTAATCAGTTACACAACGGCCCACAGAGACAGTACGCTGCCTGTATATAAAACATTGTTGTGCGTCACAGAACGCAACAAACAAAAGACCATGAAAAAGTCTGGATTGTCTTTCACAGTGTGCGCCTTGAGCACTTTCATGTTATGAAGCACATCTGCTTCTAATGTTACAAACCTGCCTAATATTCACAGCAAAGGGCAAGAGAAGAAAATAAAAGTGAAGCAAAATTCAAACTAAAAGAGTTTTAATTTATGTGGTGATGTGGTTTAATTTAACAGTTCACAGGCAGCATACTGTATTAAATGTGCTGGGTAATTAAATGCTCTGGTGGTCACTGTGGAAATACACATGGCAAAGTAGCATTGCTCCATTAAATGTCAAAATATCAGCAGTTTCATAACATATTCATAAAACTTAGCATATGTAACAGATCATGTACAGCCATCTGTACAACACCAAACATTTAGGACTAGAAAAACAAAACAAAAAAACGAAAAGAAATAAAAACTGTGTTGTAAGTGGCCGAATATAAAATTTGACCATCTATATCTTCCCCAGCATACTAAGTAAAACCTTATTTTCTCAATAAAATGCATATGAAGGTGAATAACAACCAGTCATTTTTAAAGAGATCTATTTTAAGACGGGGTTTAATTATTGGTCATCTAGCAACTGAGTTTCTCCCTCACTTTCCCTCTAGAGGGCTTGTAAGCTTACCTTGTTGAGCTGTTTACACTCCTTACATTCTCCATACATGTAAAACTAGAGTAGCAGAGATTCATCAGGCCAAGTGTGGAGTGGGTTCAATGTTTAGAACCATTAACAAGTGGTCTGGCAAGCCACAGAAAGTGACAGATGCCGCAAGGAATGCTGTGCAAAAGATCTGCCACACTTGCACCTTATTTTCTGCATCCTACCCTGCATATACGGCCACATCATTTACACGTGCCGACTGCATGAACACATCATACAGATTTCTCCACAACAAGCCTCAATAAGAATGTCAAAAACTCATAAACATATGTGTAAAATGAGCAAGAGTCCCAGCTGATATTATTCATGGGTCGCTTTTTTTTTTTTACTAAAGCCATGCTAAATGCAAAAAAAAATCCATTAGAGACCTATGATGTGCTTATCAGGGAATCTGCAGAGTTTTAAAATCAAATTTAATACTTTTTAGGATGTAATACAATGAATATTGTATGTCCATACAGAACAAACCTATACAATCTCAGAATAAATCATTAATCTCAGATTATTTTACCAGATTAAACAGGCTGGGGTACAAATTCAACAGAGAGTTAATAAGGCTTATGAGCAAAACAGGGTAGCAAAGTTTAAAAGACATGTTTTATTCAATATATATATATATATATATATATATATATATATATCAAAATTATAAATTAAATTAATAAAAAATATATTGCATCAAAATGGCCTCATATGTATATATTTTTTGCCAATAAAAGCATTTAAAACTTATGATATGCTTATATCATTGTTTTTCAGTATAGCATAGAAACATGTGGAAAAATAATCTACAAATACTGAAGCAGCAAACTTTACAAAACACAAAATTTATGTCACTGCCAAAACTTTTGGCCATGACTGTACAGTACTAAAAACAAATAAGATTTTTTGGAGGGGCTGAACATAACTTGTGCATCCATTCTCTCATTTTCTTCACAGTAAAAACTGCAGTGACTTACAAAGGAAATATATTATAGTTTACATAAGCCAGACATTGAAAAGTTTCTCGTGGGCACACAATAGTTCCCTTTCCGTCGGTCACTTCGACATTGTGTCGAAGTTCCGACACTAGGGGTCACACTTGGGAGCCCAGACACCTCTGACATCACTGAGAAAAGGCCAATGACAATTGGCGAGCAAAATCTGCATAGCTGGCCATGCCCCGGACATCCGGGTATAAATAGGCCAGCGTGGCATTTGCTCACTCGTTTCGTTCATCCAAGCCGATACAGTGTCTCTTTGTGAGATTAGCAGCATTCATTCACCTCTCAAACTCTCGTTGTTGGATCTACGGCACAGGCAGCGGTCTTTCCCTTTCTGTACACAGCTAAGTGTCGTGAGAGTACCCCTGGAGAGCTTATTTCCACTAAAAGAGCAGAATTCTCTAAAAGAGCAATTTCATAGGTGGAATTGTGTGTATCACATCATGCCTTTCCATCCATGTCCTTCAGGTTGTGGGTTCTACATCTCACCTTCTGACTGGCATGATCGCTGTGCTCAGTGTTTGGGCTGTGCCCATGCTGAAGCAGAACTCGTGGATGATGTGTGTCCTCTATGTGAGGACATGCCCATCGGCACGCTCCGCTCGCGGCTCACGTTCTTTTCCAAAAGACTGCGAGTCACTCTTTCTGCTTCCCATTCCGGTCCTTCTACCTCCGGGTATGAGGCCGCAGCGATGTGCGTTGGGGAAGAGTGCAGAGCAGCAAACTTTACAAAACACAAAATTTATGTCACTGTATTACAATGGAATGGCTCTGCCGGTTGACTTCCCGTGGACTTCCCGATCCTACAATGTGTTGTGCACATAGAGCTTCCGGATGAGTTTGAGAGCTCATCTTTGGGCGAGTTGAATTTCTCATTCGGGGCTCATGAAGAAGATCAGGTGTCACTCGCAGCATCGGAGGGTAAGCTAGAGCCATCTAATGCAGATGCCTCAGCGAAACCAGTCCCCACAGGAGTTGAGTTTCAATCTGAGGCGGCCGCTGAGATGGCAGCTGTGCTTGCCCAGGTGGCCAAGAGCATCAGGTTGGAGTGGACTCCTCCACCCTGTCCCGAATGTTCGCGGCTTGATGATTGGTTTCTGGGTGCGGTGCGTGACTCCAAGCCAAGACCAGCCCCAGCTCCTTTCTTCCCGGAGGTGCACGAGGAGCTGACGAAATCGTGGAAGGCCCCCTTCTCAGCCAAGACACGATATACCAGTTCCTCTGCCCTCACCGCTCTCAAAGGGGGTCCAGCAAAGGGGTACACGGAGGTCCCTCAGGTGGAGAGAGTGATGGCGGTGCAGCTATGCACTGCACATTTATTTGGAACGCATGCAGAGTTTCAGATCTTCTGAACAGCTCTCTGTCTGCTTTGGAGGTGAGCAGAAGGGGAATGTTGTCTCCAAACAAAGGATTTCCCACTGGATTGTGGATGCTATCCTTAAGGCCTATGAGGCCAGAGGCTTACCATGCCCACTGGGAGTGAGGGCTCACTCGACCAAGGGCATCACGGCTTCATCGGCCTTAGCGAATGGTGCCTCACTAGCAGACATTTGTAAAGCTGCAGGTTGGGCTACACCTAACACAGTTGCCAGATTTTATAATCTGAGAATGGAACCAGTTTCATCTAGGGTGTTGAACACTAGTTCTTCGACTTGGATGGCTGGTAGGGCATGGAGCTTGCTTAGTGCTTCCCCTTTTTGAGGTGAAATATTGCACTTATTTAGTCCAGCGAGACAATTTCATATGTCGATTATTAATGGCCCGCTGGTATATAACGCTCATACAAATCCCATAATGCACAACAATAGTTACCGTGCGGTCATGACCTCCAATCACCAAGCAACAGATCACAGCACAAGCCCCTCCTCCCTGCTGCACTGTTGACATAGCCTACTCATCAGGGTTCAGTGGATAAATTGTTCAGTGCTTAAAATATCCCCAAAAGAAATGGCCAAACGAAAAGTGGACTTTGAAAACAGGGGTTTTCAAAAACGGTGGGAGGCAGAGTATGTCGACATTGGAGTTAAACCTGTATGCCTTGTTTGCGGTCGTAATATGGCCGTAATTAAAGAATATAACATAAGACGGCACACGAGGACAGGTACAAAGATCTCAACATACAGCAGAAGCTACAGAAGGTAGAAGAGCTTAAAAAGAGTCTAGTGTCACAGCAGACTATGTTTACAAAAGCAAAATCGCAAAAGTGAAGCTGTCGTGAAAGCTAGTTATATAGTAGCAGAAGAGATCGCTAAATCCACCCAGCCATTTACAGAATGAGAGTTTTTGAAGAGCTGCATGATTAAAAAGTTTAAAGATAAACAAGCATTTTTAAATGTAAGCCTAAGCAGAAATACCATTGCTGTTTGGGTGTGTGAGCTTGCCACTGATTTACAAGCACAGTTGATAGAAAAGGAAAAAAACTCATTGCATACTCCCTTGCTGTGGATGAGAGTACTGACACGACACTGCACAGCTGGCAGTCTTCATCCGTGGAGTGGACTCCAGTTTATGCATTACAGAAGAACTTTTGGGTATTAAGTCAATGCATGGCACAACCACAGGAAAAGACATATTTGAAGAAGTATCTAAATGTGTAAATGACATGAAATTGCCCTGGGACAAACTCACGGGACTGACAACTGACGGAGCACCCGCAATGTATGGGGAAAAGAGTGGACTATTTGGAAGGATGCGGGAGAAGATGCAGAGGGAGAATTGCACATGTGAGCTGACAGTTTATCACTGCATTATCCACCAAGAAACGCTGTGCGGTAAATCCCTTAAGATGGAATATGTAATGAGCACTGTGACACAGACAGTTAACTTTATAAGAGTCAGAGCCTTAAATCACCGCCAATTTCAGTCTTTTCTGGAGGAAATACATTCTGAACTTGGTGACGTACCCTATAACTTAGAGGTGCGATGGCCAAGTCGAGAAAAAGTGCTTAACAGATTTTTTGAGTTGCGTGAGGAAATCTGTCAGTTCATGGAAAGTAAAGGAAAATACTCCACAGTTATCCAGGATGAAAGTGGTTGCATGAGTTAGCATTTCTGTGTGACATAACTAAGCATCTTACTGCATTAAACCTCCAGCTTCAGGGATGGAACCGTGTGATCACGGAGATGTATGATGCAGTGAAAGCTTTTCAAGCCAAGCTACGCCTGTGGGAGATTCCG